AGTCTGTGCACAGACCAGCAGTCAGCCCGACATGACGATACAAAAATAGAATGACCTTTGACTTAACCCAGTCAGACAGGTTTACACATGTGCTATATTTTGAAAAGATCTTGTCTAAAGGTGACTCTGATAGAAAAGGTATTTTGACAGTAAAATCACTGAGCTGAAATACCGAACTCTTAAAAATGTATCACTGCCATCCGATAATGCAAATCCTCATAATGCAAAAACCCAAATAACACGTATGTACAGACCATGGCGTTATTGGGACTCATAATAATGGTTTTAGCATTCTTGAATGAATAACTGGGTCAGGCAATATAATGCAGAGTGTTACATGGATTCTTTTCATCAAAATAATATTTTCGTTTATGGTTTTTTCCATCGGAACCAAAGCATTATCATAAGTAAAGATATTTAAGTAAAAAGTTTCATAATCATGTTTACATCATACAACATTTCTCGAGCAGAAACATCCGTGGATTCTTTAGTGTAAGTGAACATCTCATCACTATTGTGGATTATTATACATTTACATATCACGATCTCAAAATATGTATTGCAGAGAGGACGATAGTGTGATGTCCAACCTTAGCTACATATATAAATTTAATATATGTACACAAATGTACAAACTAAAGCCTTAGTTTAACTTTCAACTCTACAGTGGTGTACACGTGTGTATCGAAACAAGCTTTTGTTGTAGCTATATTACTATCAAGCTCGCTATAAGGTATCATTACTCATATTATTTATCATAGTAAGTAGGGAAATGAGTCAAAAGTGAGAAACTTCTCCTGAGATAATCACATGTTTAACAACTTACCTGCCCTGGATATTAACGAAGCGATCTCGTGGTAGTTTGGAATTGGCTGTCGTGTTATCCAAATGAAATTACACAGGCAACTGACGAAGCCGAGCGATGTCATAAAATACGTTCATGAATTTTACGAGTAATTGCCTTGACCTATGTGCTCAATGCATGCCACGAACACGATATATCAACTGTTCAGTTTCATTATGTATTCGTATTTTGACCTTTAAAAAAATTACGTTTGATATTACACCCTAGTGGTGGTGTTAGCATGGATTACTGATTCACGTCTATAAACTTTGTGCATTAAATGGGCCTTACCATGCTCTTTTTTAAATGATCGAGTGACACACAGTGGCCAGTCAGTATTTATTTCTTTGTAGACCATAATCAGCAAGGACAAATGAGGTTGTCTATAAGGAGTAATATTGTACAAAAGATGGGTGTATGTACCTAGAATTAGATACAATTGACCAAATTAATTAAACTACATCAGACATCCTACCAAGGTTCGTCAGTGATGCCGAAAGTCTAAACTGTTGGAATCTAGGAGGCAACTGAGTAGGATCTAAACTGGTTAAAGATAAATGTCAAAGTGAACTGAATTTATCCTCAAACTACCCTTTCGTGCCACTATTCAAATAAATAAAAACTAGCATGTTAGTTAAGGTAAACATCGTGGACTAAATGTTTGCCAGTAATGGTGTCTATCCTTTGTGATCTCGAAAATGTAAAGACAAGTGAGCGAATAGCGCCGTCAATACCTGTTGCAGCCATACAGGGGTTTTGAACTACTGCACTTTTCATAAAACATTATTGATTTTTGAAGTATGATTAATTACTCATAACTCATCACTTATATTAGATTATATAACATTGTTTGAATATCTTAAATCAGGTTTCAATAACCGATTTTCCGATTCGGTAGTACGACAGAAATACAGGTATTGTCTATCACAGGCAAAGAACAAAATTATTATGAGTATTTTGACAATATAAATCAAAATATGGAAAAAGCAGTGGATATTTTTTAATATTGTAAACCAATTATTGAATATTTTATGAAAAAAAACAATGAGAAATTATGAAAAGAAATGGATATTATGCTTATATAAGTAACATGACACTTCAGACTGATATACCACATAACAGGTTTTTTTCCAAATGGTGTTCTGGTTTCAGGAGTTAATATGAAAAATATGAGGTTTATATATATATATATATATATATATATATATATATATATCATTTTCAGTGGTAGAAAAATATAAATCTCGCACTGGTCGGTCTTCCACTTTCATATTTTGTCACAGTCATATAAAAAATATTATACTTTCAAAGCTTGTGCTCTGAGTTTAAGATGCCATTTCTAACTTAATAGTATCTGTTTCTGTCACCCTTCTTACGCAAACCATAAAATTCACGGAATAAATTCACAATTTTGACATATTTTGTTCCAAACTAGTTCACTTACATTAATCATAATCACGCTTTGGCAGGAAATATATTCTTATTAAGGTAATAATGACCATTAGAAATGTTTTTTTCTTGTTTAGTGGAGTAGGAGGATATAAACTTGCTATTACTCTCACTCATCATGCCTCTACTATTTCAAAATTTCATGTTGTTTTAACGGGAACAAGTTTAGTTTATTTATGCTGAAGTAAAACAAATGTTTTTCATCAAGATACTAACAGACATTGAAAAACAATTCTAATTTAATGGTGTAGGGGAAGTAAACTGATTATTCACCTAGTAAGATCTTGATATTTTATCATGTTTCACAACTTTTCACAACACTTTCACTGTTTGTAATGGTATTTTTTTTCTAAGGCATTTAAATCAAACTATGAAAAAAGTTTCCTGACTGCAACACTTTTTCGAATATAATGTAAACTATGGAAAATCTGTTCACAAGTCGGGCATATGTTATTCAAAGCTAGTTTATTTGTGTAAGTTCATTTTGGTTGAGTATGTGTATATTTAGGCAAAAACGATTTTCTCTTTTGGCTACTAGCGTTTAATCACGTTTTCACTGTAATTGCTAAACAAATAAATTAGAATAATTTGCCTCTCCGTATGTATTTTTACATATGTCGTCAAATTAGAATGTTTCACGGGGAATTCCGTAGTGGCCCAGCTTACAAGAGATCCTTTAGAATTAGAACCGGTAAAGTCAAATAACAAACTGCATCACACAGCTGTTTCGTCCTTTTATATTTCATCATGCTGAGGGCATAAAGGTTTATTCGGTATAAGTAGTAATTAATGAAACTACAACGTTGTCGAAGCTCTTTATAAATGACATTAAGTCGGAGCTCCTTAACTGGAATTTGATGAAGCTTAAAAAGCTATGGTTGGCATTCCATCGTGGAGCGCCGACGGCTTGTTGACGTTAGGAAGAGAATTCATTGTTTGTCAAATATTGTGTACTGTAAAGTAAGGAAAGACGAAAGTCATGCGTGCAAGCAAGACAGTTGTTTACTGCTCAGTGAATGCATTATACCACTATATACAGATCTGTGGTCCTAGACCTGGACATCTTGGCTTTAGAAAAGCAGTTTCCCACAATCATCTTATTAAAATGCAAGTCTTTGATCCAGTAACAGCCCGGGCGTCTCCTAGAGTCAAAGCTTTCAAATAGAATCAGCCAGTCCGGCTGACAGTACATGGTTTACAGAAAGTGGTGTTCAAGCCATGGGTAGGTAAATGGCATTCACGTGCTTTCAATTTAATCTATTATGTTGGTGCGTGACGTCGTCATAACAGATAGGATTTTTTCCCTTGTTTTGCCTGCCTCTTAGTAATTTTGTCTAATACAACAGTTATATTTAGTACATTTCAAGACTGATGGCAGGAGACTCATGTGGTTATCTTAATCTGTTGGTGTTTGTATTGTTTAATAATACATTTTTCTGTTGCTATGTATATGTTACATATATATGGCATAGTATGTTTATTTATAATTCTTATTTGTTTTTAAGATCTTTTAAGACACGACAACAACAATACTTATATCCATGCACGCACCCACTGAAAGTCAACTTTTCCATCGCCATCGTCATCATCATTCGTATATATTTCATTGGGTGACTTCGACTCCCTTGGGATCTCCTCTTTGTTCGGCTGCTTGCTTATGAATGTCGTCACTCATTTTGTCGAGGAGAGTGAAACCTTTCCCATTTACATATTGTCCCAAATTCTGCTAGTTTCTGCGCTTTCTAATACTGTTGGCAACTCCAGTTTGGATAAAAACCAGAGTAGACGGGAAAACATTTATCATGTAGTAATCAATGTGGCTTCTTATATTGGAGATAAGACTATTAGCGATACGTTTTTATATAAAAGAAAACTTACATACAGTATCTGATAGAGTAGTCGCCTCGGCTATCTATTGGTTTGATCGGACGGACGTTGAATATTAGCTTTTGTATGGACAGAAGGCTATGGGTTGATTTGTCCCCGCTCCAGGTTTCTGACATCAAATGAGGTGAAATGGTGGGGATGATCTGCCATAGAGTCCTGTATCGAAATCAGCGTTCCAACTCCTGCTCTTGTTAGAACTAATATTCACGTCTAACTTACAAAATGAGAAGGACGAGAGTATATGTTGCTCTCACAGAAAATTGACAGACCTTACTCTTGACGGCGTTATATACATAGGTATATTTAACTTCGAGTGGAGACTCGTGACCCTGAAGCTATGGGACAGCTGTTTAATGTCTCAGAACAGTAAGTAATGTCATGTTTCCAAATGAGAACAAGGAAAACAACAACGGAACTAACATGCATACCAACGAACACAAACGTATATACCACACAAAGAAATAGAATAATTTGGTGATAAGATGACGAGTGTAAAAATTCCCTAAATCAATGTGTAATAAGACAGGTAATTCATCCTAAACGTATATAGTAACTTGTTAAATGCTGCAAGCGCTAAGAAATTCGTCGGCAAACCTCGGTCGATTCCGTACTATTTAGATTAATAGAGTGCATATAATCGACCTGTGTGTACCGAGTTGGGCTAAGGCATAGCTTATTATATATTACCCTGAGTAAGTCCCGAAAATGGCTTTCAAGTCTTTTTCCAATGTGAGAAAACTTGCCGAGTCATGGGAGATAACTGCTAATGATTTTTATGCAAGCATTTTTGTGACTTTGATTTATCAGCAGACGATCCAAAATGGCTTCCATAGTAGCAGGGAAAGCGTTGCAGAATGTTTTCAGCAAAAGCTGTTTTATAAGGAATTGTTTTCCCGCAGTTCATCACTTATCACGGTATTTAGATTATATACTGTTGGTTTTTCATCATTTGTTGTATTTCTTTGCAGAAAAATATGTTTCAAGGTGCTTCTGAGTTCGCGGTACAAAGTCCAAAAACTGGTCGTAACAATGTTGTAGCAAACTTAAACAGAAGGAACAGTTTCAACTTGAGCATTTAACGAGTGAATCTGGCAAAAATTTACTAACCTATTTTAAAACTTGGCTTAATCGCAATCAAATTAGAAGCAAAATTTCTCAGGCCTACTTCAGTAGTGTTGTAGTATATATACCCCTATGGACCTACGTTTAAAGGTCTTAGTCCACCTGGTTACATTATCAAAACACTGTTGGAGGATGTACTGTGGTATTAACCAAAGAATTGGGCACGCTAACTACTTCGTTAAATTTAGATTAAAATTTTTGTTTTGTCAATTTATTTATTTAATAAGTGTGAGAATAACCAACTCCAACAATTTTACCAATACAATAACGTTTGTAGAGGAAAATAAGAGTCGGACAGCCTCAGGGGAAAAAAAACAAGTTGATATGGCATTATAACATTATGTTGAGAAAGTATAAAAAAAAAAAAAATAATAACACACTATGATATTGGTTAACAAGTAAATGTAACAGAGGTCATTAATTATTTCAATGCCTCCACTAGATTTGAACCTGAGACCTCTGGCTTACTAGTCTGACGCTCAACTGATTGAGATAAAAAGAAGTTCTCTCTAGCTGAGCGGTGATATTGCGGCTTGTATTTACCAGAGGTTACAAACACCTCCAGGAAATAACTTGTCCTCTAGGTTCCTTGGTTACAGCGATGCTGGTGGGACATGTCTAAATATTATTCCCGAGTCCCTACACGGACGCCAATGTAACAGTGGTCATTATTTATTTCAATGCCTCCGCTTGGATTCAAACCCGAGACTTCTGGCTTATTAGTCTGTCGCTCAATCAATCAAGCTCAAGAGACATTCTATCAAGCTGAGCGGTATATTGTGACTGGCATTTACCAGGGTTACATATGTAATATAAAGAAATTAAGAGAATTCGGTACGCTACGGAGAGTGATCCCAATAACTGTGATATTGACTTTTGTGTGCTTAAAGATAAATTGATTTATCTTACAACATTTGCAGAACAAGTTTTTTCATCTTATATTAATCACTCTTGTTGACCCAACTAAGTTGACTTCAGCTTCTTGCAAGAGTTATAGCAATTGATTAAGAAAATGTTTCTGATTCATTGCATGAACATGGTTGCATGACATCATTGGAAAGATGATAATTTTTTTCTCTTTAACAATTGGAAGCCATGTCATTACTGAAGTCGTTAATTTTTTGGGGTTCTCCAAAGTCAGTTGCTTAATCTAAGAGTTTAACAGGATATAACATTTCAATACTGTTTACGTAATTGATCATTATTTAGAGGAATTCTTTTTTTGCTCAGATGTCAGTATGCTGCGGAGGCCAGTCGTCCAGGAGTTGCCCAGGTGGACAACATGATGGAAATTGGCACCAGAACTTTGTTCAGCGAGGAGCATGACATGTTCAGACAGACTGTGAGGAGGTTCTTTCAGGAAGAAGTAGTTCCACACCATGCTCAGTAGGCAATCTTTTTTTCCTCCTTAAGTGAAGAAACAAGACAAATGAAGTTTAGAATAGGATGTAGTTGGCAATACATTTGTATAGCATCATATTCATGGTTTAACTAACATAAAGTCACTATAAATATTACAAACCTTTTCTTCATATTTCTATATCAATTTCAGGTGGGAACAGGATGGCAATATCAGCAGAGAGGTATGCACTTTATATTTCATAGAAGTTAATTCAGTTATTATGTTATAAAAGAATTAAGGTAAAAGGTAGATAAATGGCTTGTCAATCATACATAAAATTTCATTTGATTCCAAAGTAAGTGTCAGTAGCACTACTTTTCTTTGTCCTTCTTTCCAATTTTCTTTTCCAGAAATTAACTTTGCTTACAATTTTGCAAGGATCATGAAACACTTTGTGTACATCAGTTACACTTAGGTGATTTGCAATATGATTCATGGCCTACTATGACTTATTCACAAAGAAATTGACCATTGTTAAAATTTTATGTCTGGAATATAACTTTGCTTGCATTTAATCTAGGACAAATTTTGATGTATACATTTGCCATACTATGACAAAATGCAATGTGCTAAAGTCAGGACCCAGTCTCTTAGTTATAGAGTTATTGGCCTGTATCTAAATTTCCTGTCTGAAACATAACTGTATTTGTAATTCATGCTGATTAAACATACCACCTATTATAGTAAGTACATATTTTGAAAAAAAAGTTTCAAAGCCAATTAACTTTGAACTATTCATACACATACTATTAACAATCAGTGCTTTAAGCTTACATGAACATTAATTATCAGGCTGAGTGAAATATGCCAATTCTTTCATAGCTTAAGCATAATTACATTTCAGATGTTGTATATGTATATAACATGTTGATAGCATATTAAAACATAATTGTTCCAAATACTCAATTTTTTTTACACATATATGTCATTAATATGATCAATTGCAACACTTACAAACAGAGAAAGTCTCCAATAAAGTTGTTTTTTGGAAAGCAAGCTGCATTCCTCAGTTCTAAAATACTCTTGTTTGGAATAATGGGATGCCTGATTTAAGCTTTAATAACAATTGATGTGAAATTACCAGACTAAGGTAAGGTAAGTCATCAGCTAAATGCATTATTTTTCTTTTCAGTATCAAAATTTTTTTATTGTTTTAGGTATGGGCAAAGGCAGGGGAGACTGGAATTCTTGGTGTTAATACTTCAGACAAGTTTGGTGGCATAGGTGGAGATGTTCTTTCAGCAGCCATCACATGGGAGGAACAGTAAGGGAGATAATCAACATTATATTGTCATTATCAATAATGTGCTTCCATTTACTGTGTCTCAAAGAGTTTATGATGGAGCAAGATATTTGAAAATGAGATTGTAAATCCTTATGCTGTTTGTCATAGCTTGTCATAAACATTACCATTAACTTAAAGTTTTATTTTACCATTTATGTAATTTTGATGGATTTTATAGAGATATTCTCATGTTTTCTTCTGAAAGAAAAATTGTTAACTCAGAGCCCCATTACAAGCTGTTTGAGACTACCAAAGGAGATCCTATTCAGTAGATATCAAGAATCATTCTTCACATAATGTGCTGATGTTTTAAGGTCAGATCTTGCATGAACGTATCGCAGTCTGCCACAAACACTCAATCAGGTCAACTCATGCTTGCACCTTGTATACACAGGGAAGCCATCATTAAATGACCAAAGCTGTTGATAGGATGTTGAACAATATAAAAGCAAGTTAAGTTTGTGTGCAAGTCCCAGTCGTAAAATTAATTTTATCACCCAGTGAAAGCCAGGGTTATTCTGAGATGGTGTCTCCTGGTAATTATTTCTATAAACATCATGCAGGAGGCCTGCCACATGTTATTCAGAGCTATTTGAATTATGGTATTTTCTTCAATAACACAACCACATCAGCAGAGGGTGTGTCGTGATTTTAGCTGCCTGAGAAACACACACACACAAAAATAGTTTGTTCCACACAGCACAGATCTTTACCTGAGGTTGCAAAGCCAAAAGCCTTAGTTGCTGAGCAACACTGGTGTTGCAGCCCCAGAAATTAATACCTAGAGAATAACATAACAGATATGACTGTGGATAAATCTTACAGATAGCTGAATGGTAGACTGAAAATTGTCTTTAAAATTTGAGGATTAAGATTTCTGTCCATTACACATGTAATAGAAAATTATACAATGTGTTTGATTTTTGGCAAATCATGAAATGGTGAGCTGATCAAATTGCATAACTTCTGTGATCTGTTATTCATTTATCCATTCTTCAATAATTCTTGTTATTACAATGTGTTATCATAGTGGATCTTTCTAATGTTTCAGTTATATGTCCATTTGGTCCTAAGTTGGACATGTTTAAGGGTTTAATCAGGAAAAGAAAATAGCTGAATGGTAGCCTTTTTGGATTGTAGTGATGAAGTTTTTTTATTGTTCTGAAAATCAGTTCATACACCAATTTATTTTCAGGAGTTACTCTAACTGCTCAGGGCCTGGGTTTGCCCTCCACTCAGACATTGTAATGCCATATATCACAAACTATGGAACACCGGAGCAGATAGAGAAGTTCATCCCTAGAATGACAGCTGGGACATGTATTGGTGCTATTGCTATGACAGAGCCCGGAGCTGGCAGGTAAATAAACATTTTGTGTTAATGACATCCCCAAATTGTATGAAAGACATGCAATGCTCTAACTTCCATGCATAGAATTGTCATCATTTGATAAATATGCAGAAGTTGTCAAATGTGACCTTTGACCCTTTAACCTTGAGTGATGACTACCGTAATATGATCAGATGTGAAACTGGTGTAACTATATAATTGCTGATATTCACAATTTTGTGGTCAATAGGGAGAGTACAAAATTAACTACTGTACCCAGCGAACATTTCTACAGTGTTGTTGGAACTTTTGTTACTATGTAGTTGGTAGTATTAACAGGGATTCTCACTTTATTTTGTGGTCACTATAGATAGTACAAAATTAATTACAAATTAAGTACCTAGCAAACATTTCTACAGTGAATGAAAATCTCAGAAAGTATCTGTTATACCTGTATATATGGGGACTATTTATATATGGGGACTATTTATAGATAACCACGTAATTTGATCCCTATGTACTATCCTTAAGTAGTTCACAGAACGAAAGAAAAATATTAGCAAAATATATGCCGATACAATCTGTTACTATGGGGTAAACATGAACTAAATCTATGATATTGTGAATAGGGTGGGCCACAAACAACATGGGTAACACTATATTTGCCACCCCTCTCCTAGTGTTACTAGGTGTTCAGCAGCACTACTTATGATCTTGATTGTACTGCTAGCTTCTGATACATGCTGTAAGGAAGTACTTGCGCTTAGTCCAGAAGGATAGGGCATTAGTCCTCTGAAATGTCTTCTCAGCATTCTTTGCAGAATCATGTATTCAATGCACCGATGCTGCAAGTTTTGATATAATGTTGTAGAAGATAACCATTAAAAAAAAAGAATTGAATGCTGCAGTATCTAAGTTGAACTCTACTTTAAAAAAGAAGAATATCTCTGATATATTGTACACTGCCCATAACATTGTTTTGTTTCAAAATAATTTTGAAAGTTTGTTAAAGGTACAATTTGTAACCATGTTGAAAGACATTGGAATCGAGGTGTTCGTTTCATGTAGTAGACTATGAATATTTGCCACTGTGATTGTATTGAGAATTTCTAACTGTGCTTTAATTTCCAAATATCTGTTTAGGAGGATGTCATGGTGGTGTAAGAGTTTAGGCAGTTACAGAATTTCTTGGCTGGGTGATATAGTGACATAAATCATGATTTCAAGGCCAGGACAGTACATAAGTCAAATATTGTCTATCTTTGTCAGTTATGTCAAAAAGTACAAATATGATAAATGATATATAGACATGTATAATGTAGGAAGCAGTTCCTCAGTATTTGTTATTGATTTGACCTACAGATAACTTGGGATTTTTTTTCCTGGATTAACATTTTATTACGAATTTGTAATTTTTATCAACTTGACTTACACCAGATATAGATATATGTTGTAGGTTCAAACATGGATTGGAAAATTGTACAAATTTTTCCTCCAACGGACTTGAATTTTTTGCAGACACACGTTTTCATTCAGTTTCCAGATTTGTTTTTCTTTCATTCCATCATGAAACTAAAAAATATCACTGTCAAAGCTTAAATAAATCATAATTTTCAAATTTGTCATAATCAATACAAGATAGGTTGTAAGCTGGCATTTTGCTGGGAAAAAAACATAAGTTTGTTGTTTGTCTAAAAATGCTATAACATTATATGTTATTATCATGTTTTACTGTTTTTCAATTTATTTTCTATATTGACAGTGATTTGCAAGGAATTCGAACTACTGCTAAAAAGGATGGGGATGACTACATTCTTAATGGTAGCAAAGTATTCATTACTAACGGTTACATGAGTGATGTTGTCATAGTTGTTGCCATCACCAATTCTGATGCAAAGTCAAAAGCCCATGGTATCAGTCTCTTTCTCGTAGAAGCAGGCATGCCTGGTTTCAAAAAGGGGAAAAAACTGCATAAAATTGGCATGAAGGCCCAGGTAAGATATTTGATTTTAAGTTTTGAAATTCTTGATTTGATTTTGTACATCATTGCTAATAGGGTAAACTTTTTCTTGTTAAAAAATTAATTTGTTGATATATATATATAGTCTAATAAGTTTGTGGTTTGACTGTTGAATGGCAGTCATATTAGTTTTATTTCTGTTTATTGCAGTCATTTGAGGACAACATTTAATTACCAAAACCTGAATCTCAATTAGTGTTTAGCTGTGTTACTTGGTAAAGGTTTTGGATCAGTTCAGGTTTCAAATAATCAATAGAGGGATCTCTATTCACTAGTTTACAGGAAAGAGCAGATATGTGAAGCTAAAATTCTTCTTAAGCTGTAATAGCTCAGCATAAGGTGAGGAGGAAGCGATGCTGCCATGTCATTGGGTAGCTGTTTTAAAACTTGATATGGGAACATGGATACAAGTGTTGTCCAGCAGTATAAACCAGTTTGTTTGAATGAAATCCAAAGAAACCAGTTAATTTGTTGATGGCATTCTTATGAAAACTATAGCAAGACCATAAAAATTGAATTTGACAGCAACAGTCTGCATTACAAAATTATGAAATTGCTCAAAGTCCAGAAGAGTGATGACACAATACATTTAATGAGTGGAAGTCTTCATTAGCATTATCTTTTTTATAAATCGATGTCCACTCTTCTTACAGGACACAGCAGAGCTTTTCTTTGAAGATGTCCGTCTGCCTAAATCTGCACTGCTTGGAGGAGAGAACAAAGGCTTCTACCTATTGATGAATGAGTTACCACAGGAACGCCTTCTCATCGCTGACATGGCCATGGCATCTTGTGAATGGATGTTTGAGGAGACACGTAACTATGTCCTTGAAAGGAAAGCTTTTGGAAAGACTATCTCAAACCTTCAGGTATAATGTGATGCTATGATTTATTTTCACTTGATCTTTCTAGAAAATCTCACAAATTTTACGTTTAGATATACCTAAGAATTTTCAGAGAACTGTTTATAATGTAGAATTCAATACTATGCATCACAACGTATATGGGTGGCCTTTTTAATGGTAGAACAAGTTTGTATGCAGGAAAAAAGTAAAGGGTAACTCCTGTCAGTCTTATTGAAATTACTTCGGTTTTTCATATAATGCACACAAGAAAATCAAATGCTGTGAAAAACAGTTATGAATTCCCATACTGGTATTTTTTCCACACAATGTATTGTGTCAAAAGAATATGATTCATGGATATCGGAATTGAGCTGTAATGCTACACCATCTTTCTTTACCTTTATAAGTGCCATTGTAAATTCTCAATCACCAATATACAATTCTGCAATAAAATTATTGAATTGTTAGTGTATCACTTACAATCTTTTACCTTTTAACGACATTTTCCAGGAAATAATTTGAAAAGAGAAAAGTTTGTTATAAGATATATCGGGAATACAGGTCAGTTAATGTGCTTGTACACTGGGATTCAATAGTATGAGCCTACAATATCCTGCCAGGAAAAATGTTCTTGTAAGATGCAAATATTTTGATAATGGCTACTGATTTAGAGATTTTTGTTATACAACAAGTTTGCAGGGATTTACTTCTCATATTCGGAACTGTCATGGTAAAATTTTAAATGCACATCTTCATTTAAACCTCTTAGAGAGCTCCATTTCTGGTCACTACTTTTGCTATGACAGGTAACTTTGACATACAGGAAACATGTGAAGGACACAGGTTCCTTGATGACTTCTTCTTAACAAATAAACCAGTCTAACTGATTAGGTGTTTTATGCTTCTGCATTGATGAAAGTAATATACATATGTATATATACTATGGTTTACAACACTTTGAAGCTGTAATTGAGAGACAGTATTTTTTAATTTGCTTTTATAATGTGTATTTTCATTGTTCATATCACCAGACAATTCAGCACAAGCTTGCCGAGATCAAAACAGAAGCGGCAGTTGGTCGTGCTTTTGTCGATCAGTGTCTTGATATTCACAACCAGCGTGGACTAGATTCTACCATGGCATCTATGGCCAAATACTGGTAAGTTGTTCAATAAATACTCTTGTACAGAAACAAACAAATTTAGATCAACATACTAGAACAATAAATTATTGGGTACTGGAGAGTTAGACAAAAACTTCATAGCACAATGGAGGTCTATTCTAGAAAAAACAATGAGTAAAATGGTTTTGTTATAGGAAAAAATTATTACTTTTGTTACTGATGTTTTTTCATGGTTTTTTAAGATAATAATAGAAATTCTAAATTGAAATTAAATGTATACCTGATTTGAATGTAACAATAGAATGTATTGTTTCAAGTGTTTTATGTTCAAAAGTTAAATGCATTTACCATCTGGATTTGTTTGTCATTTTATGCACCTGTGTTATCAATATTTTAGACATACATCACCATTATGATGGAATAAAGAGGTGTACTTACAAGGCTCAGATGATTGTCTTAAACTTGGTAAAAGGAAAACAAGGCAATTATCATAAATCCTTGGGTTCCATATAGAAACTACTTGAATATGATGGTAATTGGCAATAACAATAATAACATGTAAAAGAAAATTGTAAAAAAAAATATGAATCAGAAAGCAAAAATTTACATTATCCATAATATCATTGAAATATATTATTACTAAATGTACTGACTTTAATTATTCACAGAAAATGACATGGATTGTATAACTTACATTGATATACATCATCAATGCAATTAACATTAGGCACATTGTGCACACTGATAGCAAATAATAGGTGTGTATACCTCTTTCAACCGTTGTCAAATACTGGTACTCTAGTGTATGGATTCGTATCTTTCTGCAGTAGATACTAATTGTCCCTAACAAAATGATAAAAACAAACATCATATTAGAATATTATTGTACAAATTATTTTTAATGATATTAAATTTCTTCTTGAAATTATGATTTGAATATTATACATATGTCAAATGTACATATAAAGCATCTGCTAATATTTCAATATCATTTGCAGTTATGGAATTATGAGGAAATTAAAAAACGACACATTTGAGACTGCATGTAGCTTTGTACTAAACATGTGACATTTTGCTTAATAATTGTACTAACAGCTGCTCAGGAACACAAAATGATTCCTTATTAACCAGGAATTGGTTTATAAACACAAGAGATTAATGAATTAGACCGATTTATCTCTAATGACAAAAACAAAACAAAAATTAGAATTTATCAGCCCAATTAAATGATTTGTTTTACCAAGCATTTATAGGCAAATGACACATCAAAATCATTTACATTCATACAAGTTTCTCTACATATAACATACCTTGATAAGGGATGTTTTAAACTTTCTCATTCTCAATACCGTCACAAGTTTTTTTTCGGTTGCCTGTAAGCGGACATACATGCCAGAAAGTAGAAAACTGTGAACAAGAATTTGTCGTTATCTTACTCTCACTTTTTTCATCCTTAGTAATGAAGATGAATCTTTCATGATGAATTTAATGTCATGAGGAATGATTACACTGTATGATATTTTATGTGTAAAAGTAATTACTTGTAAAATACAAAAAGATTAATCCAATTTATATCAAGGTGTGTAATTGTTTCTCACACTGTTCAATATTTAACTTTGTCAAGGATATACTTGTATCTGATGATGTTTGGCTAGGAATTTTTTTCAGTTAAAAATCTTTTGTAATTCACAGGTGCTCAGATCTTCAGAATTCCATTGCTACACGTTGTCTTCAGATGCATGGAGGATGGGGATATATGTGGGAATACCCTATTGCCAGGGCTTTTGTTGATGCTCGAGTACAACCTATCTATGGAGGCAGTAATGAAATCATGAAGGAATTGATCGCAAGGACTGTTACAACCAGAAAATAAAAAATACATTAAGTACATAAACTTGATAAAAAAAAATCAAGCAGATAAATGAACAATTTAGCTTTTCTTATTAAAATGAAAGAAATGAAATAAGGAACCTTGTACATAATGCAGCTGGTTCTGTTTGATATCATTCATTATATGGACAAAAAGATTGGGAGTTACAATTTCTGATTTGTTATTTCATTTTGTTCATTATCTTTAAACATTGCAATTAAGTATACATATTTTTCATTTTTTGTTTACTCTCTGTATTGCAGCAGTTGACTCGTGTACAAAATTTACAATCTCAGGACTTTTTGCTATTGAGGCTTATGATTTGTTTATAAATCAACATTAATATTTGACACAAGTTGTCGGGTGTATCTGAATGCCATACCTGATGTTCTGTTAGGCCTAATTGTTGGGTATGATTGGATTGCCATATTAAATATAGGGATTATTGCAGTGTGAGTATGATGGGATGATCAGTATGGCAGGATTGGCGTTGTGTGTATTGATGAACATCAATTTGAAGTAACACTGAATTCCTACATGTTTCTTTAAACCCAAAATCATAATTAATGAAAGAAGAAGGTGTTGAAGACTATCTGTAATCATCGTTTGGAATTACAAAACAAACAATTTCCTAACATTACCATAGCATTCATCTGCATTACTTATATATTTAAATTTTTTTGTTTTTTTGTCATTGAATGAGTATTCCGTGTGATTTTATGCTCTGAATTGAACCATGTCATCCCAGTGCTGATTGGATGTTGAATACCCAGTATTGAGATTTTTTTGGACAATGATAATATGACATACATGTATATTATAAAAGTCTCTAAATATGACTAATTATTTTCATACAAGTTTACTTCAGAGATTTTGAAAGCAGCTCTCAAATAAATTGAAAGGAGTTGAAGTTTGAAAACAGTATATATTACATCTGTACTAGTTTCGGTTAATTACAAATAAATGTGCTTTTATTTAATATTGATGTATACCGGTATATGTAATGTACTAGTTAACAGGAATCTTTATTATCTGTGATCTGTATTTAGATTAGATGACATCTGTTTACATATTAAATACAGATAATTGTTATACATATCTATAATTGTTTGATTAAACCACTGAATCTAATACTTTGCTGCGTTTCTTTTCCTTTCCAATTTGCATTTAAAAACTTCATATTTTATCTACATCAAGTCTTAATTTAAAGTTTACTAGAATATTAGCATGCAACAACTCCTTATTTACATCTGCATCATTATTGATGTGAAAAGAAAACTCAAACTGAGCAGAGACAGCACGTAAGATTAAGAAGACTAGTTGACATTTATAGCTGGCACAAATGTTTACCTAAAATATAAAAATGCAAGGTATATAGGAGGCTTACTAGCACAAGGTAATGAAGGCTGACACAGACAACAGAAAAGCAAAAAGAGTGAAAAGTTATATGAGTGAAACTGGGGACAGGAATCTATCAAGCTGGCATTGGATACATACTCTGGAACTCAAAAGGCTGACTGAAAATGGATACATACCCCTGGTACTGAGAAGGCTGACTGACACTGGGTACATATTCCTGGTACTGAGAAGGCTGACTGACTTCATACATACCCCTGGTACTGAGAAGGCTGACTGACACTGGGTACATATTCCTGGTACTGAGAAGGCTGACTGACTTCATACATACCCCTGGTACTGAGAAGGCTGACTGACACTGGGTACATATTCCTGGTACTCAGAAATCTGACTGACTTTATACATACCCCTGGTACTGAGAAGGCTGACTGACACTGGGTACATACCCCTGGTACTGAGAAGGCTGACTGACACTGGGTACATATTCCTGGTACTGAGAAGGCTGACTGACTTGGTACATACCCATGGTACTGAGAAGGCTGACTGACTTGGTACATACCCCTGGTACTCAGAAATCTGACTGACACTGGGTACATACCTCTGATACTGTGAAGGCTGGCTGACACTGGGTACATATGGGTACCACTGGTACTGAGAAGGCTGGTTGACATTGGGTTCATATCCATGGTACTGAGAAGGCTGACTGACTTGGTACATACCTCTGGTACTCAGAAATCTGACTGACACTGGGTACCTATGCGTACTGTTGGTACTCAGAAGGCTGACTCACACTGGGTATCACTGGTTGTACTAAGAAGGCTGACTCACACTTGGTACATACGGGGTACCGCTGATACTCAGAAGGCTGACTGACACTGGGTACATACGGGGTACCGCTGATACTCAGAAGGCTGACTGACACTGGGTACATACGGGGTACCACTGATACTCAGAAGGCTGACTGACACTGGGTACATATGGGTACCACTGGTACTGAGAAGGCTGGTTGACATTGGGTTCATATCCATGGTACTGAGAAGGCTGACTGACTTGGTACATACCCCTGGTACTCAGAAATCTGACTGACACTGGGTACATACCTCTGATACTGTGAAGGCTGGCTGACACTGGGTACATATGGGTACCACTGGTACTGAGAAGGCTGGTTGACACTGGGTACATATCCATGGTACTCAGAAGGCTGACTGACACTGGGTACATACCCATGGTACTCAGAAATCTGACTGACACTGGGTACCTATGCGTACTGTTGGTACTCAGAAGGCTGACTCACACTGGGTATCACTGGTTGTACTAAGAAGGCCGACTCACACTTGGTACATACGGGGTACCGCTGATACTCAGAAGGCTGACTAACACTGGGTACATACGGGGTACCGCTGATACTCAGAAGGCTGACTGACACTGGGTACATACCCATGGTACTCAGACAGCTGACTGACACTGGGTACATATGGGTACCACTGGTACTGAGAAGGCTGACTGACACTGGGTACATACCCCTGGTACTCAGAAATCTGACTGACACTGGGTATATACCTCTGATACTGTGAAGGCTGGCTGACACTGGGTACATATGGGTACCACTGGTACTGAGAAGGCTGGTTGACATTGGGTTCATATCCATGGTACTGAGAAGGCTGACTGACTTGGTACATACCCCTGGTACTCAGAAATCTGACTGACACTGGGTACCTATGTGTACTGTTGGTACTTAGAAGGCTGACTCACACTGGGTATCACTGGTTGTACTAAGAAGGCTGACTCACACTTGGTACATACGGGGTACCGCTGATACTCAGAAGGCTGACTGACACTGGGTACATACCCATGGTACTCAGACAGCTGACTGACACTGGGTACATACCCATAGTACTCAGATGACTGATTGACATTGAATACAGATTTATTAGTGACACTTTGTGTTTATGACTGTCACTGGGTACATACCCAGAAAGCTAGCCGACACTGGGTAAAGAAAAAACACCTGATGGTAGATACTAAGTGGCACTAGACATAAAAGGCTAACTGACCTTGGGTACTTAACTCTGAAAGCCGAATCATAACAGGCACTATACTGAGGTTGACTCACTGGGGTTCTGAAGGCTGACTCACACTGGGCTACTGAAGGCCTACTCACACTGGGGTTCTGAAGGTTGACAAGACACAATACTGAAGACTGACTCACATCACACTGGGGTTCTGAAGGCCAACTCACACTGGGGTTCTGAAGGCTGACTGACACAGTATTGAAAACTGACGCACACTGGTTACTAAAGGCTGACTTACATTGGATACTGAAAGCTGACTAACATTGTGAACTGAAGGCTGCCTCTCACCGTCTAGAATCAAGATAATTCGGAGCACTGAAGGCTAGCATACGTCTGATATTAATTAACCACTTAACTAACAACGATATGCGACTCTTATTTGACTTTCATATTTTCTATAGAATAATTTCATCCATATGAATAATCATATCTGATTTATATGAATTATTTTAATAGCATAATGTCAATGAATCGGTGCCAACTACGAGGTTATTTTCAATACTCTTCGTATCGACAGGTGACTGTGATATATTTATATTGAACTAATATCTCTACCGATATTTAGTTTATTGATATTAATTAATCGTATCTTTGATGTTAAACAATCATTTTGTTAACTTATTTACATGCACGTGTCACCGTTTCTCTTTAAGGATGAACCAAACGATATATCTGTTGAAAGAGAAAGTAATAAGTTCTAATAACAAAGACAATTTACTCACTTAGACATTTAATTTTATACATATTTTATTGAATTACATTCCAAGCTCGATTAGATATTGACTACTGTATTGTTATGATGTAAATAAAATTTTAGTAATTTAAGTGAAAACATCAGTAATCAATTGTAGATACAGAGTCTATGAACTGTATAAGTTTGCCTCAAACATTTTCCTCGAGTTGCCTCCCTTATGTTACAGTTGACATGTCATAACTATAAATAGATTAGTTTGGCCTAACCGACACAAGAACAAGCGGAAGTAAGTATTTTTTAAGAGTAAATAGATGTTGTACATATATGTAACGATACTCTGTAAACACTATTTCATAGAGCCATTCGAATATTAACCTTAATTGATCAAACCTTCTTAGTCTAAAGGAGTGTTGAAAAGTTGTAACATCGGGCCTACACGAACTCGCTCAGAGTCGGGGAGTAAGGCGGGGTTAGGGGTTAGGTCAACAGCAAGGTGAAATGAAAATTGACCACAATCACACTGTAGTGTGCGCGTGTATTGAGGAACACGTGCCATTTTACCAACATTTGTAAACGGGTCAGGACAGTATCATACTCGCATGGACTCTCGGGTCCTAGTCAGAATTATTCAGATTTTTTTATTTCCGTCTTGAGTCAATGAACGTCAGAATATTCCCGACTAAGCGAGCCACTGCGTGTTCAACATGAATTTGAAATCAGAAATATTTCTCTTTTTCTTCTTCGTTTTCTCGTAATATGGCTATTATTATTGCACCAAGTAGCAAAAATAAATGTCCATGGTACAGAATCATGTTACCATTTTGATAAAAATATTTCTATGGCAATTGTTTCGCCTTTGCGTGCGAATATAATGGAATCTGGTAACAGGTCCTTCTCTACTGAAAGCAAAGTAAGAGTGAAATTTTCGTTTTACAATGATAAGATCTATTCATTTTAGACGTCGAAATGTGTAGTATCCATATCGTCATTTAATGCTATATTTATGCATATTAAGATAGCATTAGCCACGAAAATATATTGTTCATACAGTGTCACGTGATTACCAACGAAATGAGAAAAACCGGTAATAAAGCCTATTAACTGAGTGTTTCTAGACTTTGAATGATGTCTGTGAATATAACGGCACGTTTTTAAACTTCATTTCATATGCTACGTTTGTAATACATGAAAAATTTACATTATTGCAAATTTGTGGTGTTTCGTTATATAATTGAATTACATGATGTTTCTCATTTTTGATATCAATCTCAACTTTGGGTTGATAAAACCTAGTATCAACCTCATCAAAAGGCTGTGATTGTATAATGATTCTGTCTGATGATACTTCAAATTGTGAAATAGTTGTTGGGATTACCGGGAGACATTCCATCAATCAAACATTCAGTAATGAAAGAACGTCTTCTCCCCATCAACACATCATTTTCTTTAAATACCTCTACAGAGATCAACTTCGTCAGATGTTCTGTGTATGAAAGTTCTTTTTCTAAAAAACCCAGTATGAGCCTAGGAAGTGGTGGAGTAGTCTCTTCCGTTCCAGACACTCGCAGCAGGTGAGGCTTTGCACTAGTATTTCAATAAGTTTAAAATAGAAATTTTGGAAGTTACGATACGTGCATTACCATACTTTACAACCATCAGCTGTTGATATGCATTATTATTTTGTAATTTTGCCCAATCTTTTGAAGCATCATGAACGAAAGTCTCGCCGATCAACTGAAGAGGGTAAAACTGAAGAAATCGGCCGAGCCTATGAAAGACTTCTCGAATCCGAAGACCATGGGTTTCACCAGTGCCCAGGAAATTCACGATTACGAGGATAAAGTGTTGGATGTTAACACTGAGCGCTGGATACAGCTCCTAAATGACGTCACATTCCCAACGGTCACGTGCTCCTTCACCCTCGACGACGCAAAACTCTTCATCGACTGTTACAAAAGGTAAAGCGTTACTATCCCCGTCACATCGAATTCTTAAACGAAAAAAAAAACAAAAACAAAAGAAAAACAAAAGCAAAACAATAAATCAATTATATTTCATAAAGGCATACATGTATCTGGTATAAATTTTAAGTAGCCTGAGTTTCCTGGTTAAAGTGTAGACGTTTTGGCGGACAGAGGCATATGCTTGTGAATCAGAAACCCGGACTGCAATATTTTCCGTATACTTTTACAACCTACCAATCATATACGATGTTTACTGTGATAACAACTGATAATCACTTCGTGTACATATTTTAATACAGGATATTTGATAATAAAGACGCCGAAACAAGCATGGCTACCGATTGGCGATCTGCACTGCTGTCTGCTGAAGAGGAACATTTGGCCGATCTCACAAAGAGGTTAGACTCTGCTATGTCTGTTTTCACGAAAGAAGATGGATGTGCCTTCGTGAAGTTGTCCTCTAGGAGTGCCAAAGATGCACCAATGTTACAGTCACGTCTGAAAGCTATGTATAAAGAAATTTTGCACAAATTTCAGGAAAACGAACAAAAACAAGAAAATACTAAGATAATATGTTTGCTTCAAGCAGCATTTGATGCGATGAGAGTCACGTGTGCCACTGACGTCATTGATATGTTTGTTAGAAGTGAGAGAGTGTACCAAGACTTACTTCTAGCGGCTGTTAACAGACCTGAGGTTTATGATGAAAATTTTGTCATAAGGAAGTTTGTACCTATCGACGTAGATATGGAGTTCAGAGGGTTTGTCTATCGGGGACAATTGAACGCTCTATCACAGTACAACTACATGATATATTCGGAACGCCTGGTAGCAAAGAAGGATGCCATTGCTAAAAGAATTAGAGAATTCTTCACCACATATGTACAGACGAAACTTTCGTCAGCAAGTTTTCCACAAGAATTTATCATCGACTTCGCTGTCTGTAATGTTGGTATGTAAATTTCAACTGCGACATTATGTCTAGAGCTATCACTTATTACATTGACTTCTTTTATCGATTCTGGATAATTAAATACACGAAGTAATCCTAATTTCCCTGTAGATGAGTTAGAGTGTTGTCAACCGTTCGTTCAAATATAAAAAAATCAGATGTGTTGAAAACCTTGAATAGGATTGCCTGTAGCGTACTAGGGAAAATGTGCTTTGTTCAAACGCTTGGCTTTAGTCTCAATAAAATGTATGGAGACTTTCGATTCTGAAATTCTATTCAGCTATTGGCTGATACATGCTCTTTATGCATCTTGTTTTCCAAGTTATTTCCCTTTCCGTGCTCTGAAATACTGATGGTTACTTAATATACTCAATTTGAAATAGATTTCCCATTTCAAATATTCTCATTCGTTGTTTCACCTATTTCGCAGAAGACGACGAAGATCACTGGAAACTCTGGGTAATTGAACTAAATCCGTTCCTGTCGTCAACCGATGGTGCCATGTTCAGTTGGGAGCACGAGCGACACCTTCTCACAGGAGATGACGGATTCCACTTCCGGGTGGTAAAGAGAACAAAGCCAGGATCCCTGACAATGTTACCAACCAGTGTGAGGGCGATTTTAAAAGACGATTAAGGTAGAGGAAGAGATATCGGGAAAAGGTGACATTTATCTCACATTAACAAGAGACAACGAGTGCAAGGAACAACATCTTGTTTTAGAGATTGTCCCGATAACCACGTTCTGCTGATATCGACATATTTTATTGTCCAGTAGAATGCAGGGCGTGAAAAGAATTCCTTCCCCTACAAGTCATTATAATCAATTGTAGAAGGTGATCGCCATTGCATATGGCAGCACGAGATTTTCTGGCTGTTAAGAGCCGGAAAAGGTATTTATTTATTATGAAAACAGATAATAACAATCAAAACTGTATTGGAATTTGAGGTTTTACTGATTCTGGTGGGCATGATGACGGAAGAAAATGCAACTTGAACATTTCTCCTTAGCATACACATATAAAGTATACTGCGTGTGTGCGTTTGGCAGTATGTACATGTACTCGATAATACTCAGTGACCCGTTCCTGTGTATCACCAGATATTCCCTGGCTATGGAAACATTTCAACATTAAAATAATGTCATTAAAATTAAAAACATGTTATAACATACTGTGAGTGGTAATTAGCATGACGACTAATGCGAATCCATTTACAGTCGGTGTCATCAGTAAAACACGTGCCGTTTGGTGATTCTCATAAAGAAAAACTTTAACATATCAAAGGTACATGTTACAAAGATTGACAAAATTCAATCGGCTCTGGCATTCTTCACTTCATAGGTTGGAAACTTGGATGACGAGGTGCGTGCCATAAAGAAAAAATATATCGAGTTTGAGCAAAGAGCATAGCACAGTTGGACGTCCGATCTTAATAAGTCCGATAAAGACGCCATTAAGCGTACGGTTACTCAGCTAATCAATGACTCCAGAGCTGTAATCAATGAAGTAACAGCGCTAAAGGAAGAGCGGGATGAAGTAAAGGAAACGGTTATCGATCTGCAGTGTCGAAGTCTGAAAATTAATTTGATATTTTCTGGATTATCTGAACACGAGAAAGAAAACACGGGGGAATTGTTATATGACTACCTGTACTATGAAGCTTTGACCGCATCATTTCCTTCGGCAACGTTCATCGTTTTAGGGGGGATGGAAAATAACAAATCATGTTCAATAGCTGTGCACTTCCTTGGTGACAAAGATTTACTGGTGGTAAAGGAGAACGCGTTCTGATTATCATGTAAACCAAAAATTCCTCAACGTCATCAAAGAACGTTGGGAAAAATCTACCCTGACGCCAAACCGGGTACCAAACCAAAACAGTGCGCGATCGCCTCTAGGTGGTTGGTATATTCGGTATATACGGTCCTGTGGACGATGATATTTCCTCAAAAGAGTCTGATGCCAAAGGGACTTCATCTTGTTCTCAGCATCCCAACAACCAGAGTTCAACAAGTGGTACACCAATATCGCGCAGCCCTGATGCTGCTGCTGACTGTAACAGAATGCGGGAACACTCCAGAACGGTCCAGGACAGAGACCAGCGCCCAATCTGTCAGCCCCTACAAATATACAAAACAATATTGACCTATCTCTGTCACTGTATTAATATCAGTGAAGAGAATATTAATCAATGTGTAGGAGAGTTTTCTAATACCTCAAAGGACGTGTTCCTTTTTGTGCATTCGTTAAAGTATCCACAGGGTACTAGTCAACGGCTAGTAAGGGAGATAAACGGTGGTTTAACGACGAGTGTGAAACCAGGTATCAAAGCGACAGAAAAATCTAATGAAAATAGTATCAAATAATGTAAAGCAAATAAAAAAATCAATGTAAAAAATCAACAATTTGATATGTTGTTAAGATGATATTGGGTAGAAATGAATTATGAGACCACGGACTGTGATATCAAACCAATGATATGATCATTTATTTTATGTATATATTTAACATTATCTTTGCATCATTCATTAGCTTTGTGTATGCCATAAGCTACAAGCTTGCTGTAAATCCATTTTCACCTTTGTTGATTTTGTGTTTTCTTCATTTACAGACAGACAGACAGATTTTCTTTATTTCCTTTTTGTAAAGATTTACATGCGTTGTCTCCTATATTTTACATCAAATAATGATATGGATGTTTTAAAAAGCCAAATAGAGTGTCCATCTCCTAGAACATTAGATTTACCAGATGGAAGATATTGATCATAAGTTCAGCCCACTGCTCGTGACTCAGGTGTACATCGTTTGTACTCCCGAGTATAAATTGGCACTGTCTTTCATCTGGCAAGTTATCAAACTTAACGTAGTCATACACGTCTAAGACATTAACTAAAAAATCTAGCAGCTTGTCGCGACTATTGAACAGCGCTGGACACTGAATAAGAAAATGCAGAGCAATAACACCAGACTGTTTCTGACATAGTCTGCAAAACCACAGTGTTTCTCTCGGACTGATAGAATAATTTTATGAGTTCTCCGAGTTTCCATGAGTACTTTGGGAAATCAAGACCAAACTACCACAATGGATTGGGACATCGTCCACTATTAATATAGCGATACGTTTTTAGTGAATCTGAACTACAAACCGCATCTTGTGACATTTTGAAATAAAATTGTTGGCGTTAATTAGTGTTATTTGTCAAATGCTCAAGCGGCATAATATTTATTCAAACGAAAACATTAAAATGTGTTTCAATACAATTGATATCGTTTTTTTTTTGCCTGATGAACCTATCGATTACTTCTACTAAATGAGATAAAATGTTGATGACGTCATACATGTGATATAAATAGCTACGTTACTTTGAATTGCTGTAACCAAGAATTTAAAGATTATTGTTTATCAAAGTACGGTGACAGGGGTCATAGTATATACGTATGCGATCATGGCCAAAGATTTCAAAGATTTCTAATGACACTAAAGTGTGATACTAGAGCATTGTTTTGTACGTGAAAGGACATCTCAGGATGGTGTTGTGTAAACAACCAAAACAGCTTTGTCCTGGATTCTGGTGTTTTTGAGACACTTGGTTTTTTTTTATTTTTTTTTAAGGAATTGCTTGTAAAAATTTTATCACGAGTTTTTTTCGGCACTCGCCCATAAACAAATCGATAAGTATTCAAACTGATAAAAATCTTTACGATCGTTTATTGAACTCTGAGCTCATGGAAACCCGCTAATGGAATTAAAAATTATACCAATACGTGTATCTACACAATTATGTGTGCTAATTATAAAGTAAAGTATCAGGGAGGGAACTATTTTGTTTTTAATTTCTATTGGATGTTAGAGGAATTTAAAAAACATGCTCATTTTAAAATCAATACCTTCATATTTACTATGTATGATCATTAAACATTATTAATGTTCCGTCGCCAGTATGATATACATGTATAATATAGTAGCAGGAGAACTTAGTTTAATTAATATTAACTTTGTGTTAAGAGGTTAAGTAGTAGTGGACGTTAGATGATTTCGATGCCAAAAATAATTACTGACCTGACAATTGTGCGCTTCCGCGCTGGAAAATGGCGTCAACGCCTTTCGTGGAATCACTGGTCTTAGAATTTAACCTCGATATCAAATATAGGTTGTAATTCCGTTAACTACAACAAGTTTGGCACGTACCGCTCTAAACCATCACACTTCCACCGTAAAAGTGGTCCCGTTTCGCGACGTAGCAGTTCGCAAAACGCTCCCCTCGTCGCCTCCACACTCTGCGACTTCCATCACTAGGTTGCAGACAAAATTAGGACTCATCAGAAAACAACGTTGTTCCATTGCCGAAAGGGCGGCGAATTGCTGAGCCAATTTATTTTAACGACTTATATTTAACAAGTGGTAAATTGTCTAACACAGAAACTAAAATGCCCTCGATCATTCCTACTGCGCTCTTATTTCCACTAAATGTGTGACAGCTGAACATAATAGTAAAGATTTGACGAATAATAAGTCCTGAGAATCTAAAGATATGTGCCAATTTCGATTTTTTATGAAATTCAAGCGAAGATAAAGTTAGTTGCAAAAAAACTCGCTGAGCTCTTTCTTTAATAGACTTTCTCGCTTGAACTATTGGTAACCCAGCAGAATTTTGTGATTGCTAAAACGTTTTGTTTTTATTAATTTATACGTATTCTCCGGCTCTCCGAGTTTTCTATATTTTGCATACCACACTGTCACCAATAGTAATCAAGCCATTTTTACAAGGTGTTGGTGTAGGCCTAGTCTTCACACCATATAGATATCCGGGTGTCTTATCAGCTATACTGTGATTATGTTTGAGAATCAAAATAGTATTGGCCCCAAAACACTGTCCCAGGGAATTACATTACAGCTGGGCTGCTTGATCACCCATAGTCACAACTCGATGTTTTATATTTGTAAGGAAGTATATTATCCATCCAAATATTTAGCTCCTATCCTATTTCCTTTAAGCTTTATAAAGAATATATCTGTGAAATACTGTTTAAATGCTTTCTGAACGTTTACATCATTTTTCTGCTCAGTCTTCAATGACAACAGCTTTTTCAGAGTTCCACTGCTCAGTCCTCAATGACATGAACCAACTGCGCCACCCAAATTGAATCCTATCTTGAAGCTGTGTTTGAGTTTGGTGAACAGATTGATATTTTGCATGTGTTCTGATATAGTAATCCTGACGTCATTTTTACAACCTTTTAGATGTCACAGATTTAAAACTGATTGGTTGCTGACCGTTTGATGGATTTTAAATGGATTTTATCAGGCCCCTGTATGCGAGAAATGAACGGTATTCAAAGATCAACCATTGGACAATATAGATTAGTCTTTAACAGGAACCGTCACTCTGACGAAATATGGCACAATGAATATTGTTAAAAAGCATTCTGATGTTAAACATGTTTGCTTTTACATATTACATTAACGTCAATTCTACATTTAAAATGAATGTCAGAGATGGCCTTGATTTCGAACTATTTTAACTAAAAATTGAACGATATCCCAAATTATGCATGCACTATTTTAATAATATCTTAAGCAGATGGTAATATGCGCTAACTGATTTTCCACGCAGAAATGTCATCATTGTTTAGGTGTCTGGAAATGATTATTTAAATCAGGTTTATTTAATACATCATTCAAATGACAATTCTTAAAATGGCCATTTGTTTGTATTTCTGGTGTTTTATCAGATCACTGAATCTTTCAGCAGGAATTACCACCAAAACACGATCCTCTCGGTTAAGGAGAATTCAGGATTTCTGAAATGTGAAAATGTTTTGTCCTTCCTCTCAATCGTCAGAACAAGGATAAATTACTTTAATTAAAATTAAGATCTTATGTTATTATTTAACTCCGAATTTATCCATGAAAACATCTGTTTAATGAAGGTTTCACTGACAAAATTATTTGTCAATGAAAAAATGAAAGCAAATCGTTATTTAGACTTAAGGACTTTACCGTTATTATTTTTCAGTAAGTGAGTGATTCACATAAACAAATGGATGAAATAGTATTTGCTCATACTTTTTTAGTTACAGGGTTACAGAAATAGGTATATTGTGCAATTTAGACAAAGAATCGTATCAAATTAGCACAAATGGTCAGAACTGATGGTAAATATTTTCTTTTGTAAATGAATGTACCACTGGCAACTTATAACTATTAGATAAAGGTTTTAAGAAGAGAAATACAAATTGGAGTAGCGATAATTTCTACATTTTGAAACAAAACACAATAACTTGAATGCATTGAATACCATTTTGATTGCCAAATCAAGGTTTTATCAATACAATACATCTGGTGGAATATTTTGACAAATTTGTACTGTAGTGTGTTGCCAGTGGTTAAATAAGTGATTTTCCTTACACATAGTGTGTTTTCTTGAAAAAAAAATAGATTAATTTTTGGCGATCTCTACGTAAAGTAAGTGTACTTATTGGTTGGAGTAAAAGAAATTGCTTGAAATCAGACACTATACTCAGTTAAAACATTTACGAGTTCTTTGCAAAAATATGCAATATTCCATTCTTGGCATAATAAATTTTCTGTCGTCAAAGTACGGATCCTTGGTCCTGCTCCGGGTCCGGGAAACAGCGTGTAGCTTTCATCCCTACTCTTCCGGTTGGATTTAGACACAACTGTCACATTTTGTATCGACGGTTAGTATTTACACAGGCACCCTGTATCTGGAAGGTAAACAACGCGAGCAAAAAATCCATTGTTATGTAGTGGACTGAATGCTTGCTTGTGTTGTTTGCGTTCAAAACACAAATGCCTGTAGTATTCAATATTGCTCTCATTCTTTATTTATACTCAAAATTTTGCTACTTGACTTAATCACCGATGTTCAGAAATAAAAAAAAATCCTCATAGTCATAGTGTTGATTGTTGCCCTTTTCTAATGAATTATTCTTTAATAAAGAAATAAATGGAAAGGAAGTGACTTGTTGGTCAAAGATCATCAGATGGGAAAAAAGAAAAGAAAAAATGTTACCAAATCACCTGGGACATATACAGGGGAAGACACATCTGTTAAACCAGAGGAAAAGATCAACCTAGCCGAACAGTTAAAGCAGTATTTGTTGTCCAGCTCCAAACAGGACATTTCTCAGGACAAGAGGGTGAGTACTCAAATCTGATGTGATTACAAGGACTCGGTATATCACCCAAGTAAATTTCTGCAATTTTAGTGGGGGAGGGTGTATATATTTAGATATATGTACATGATTATAATAGGACTAGTGTTTCAATGCGTGATGTATCAGTGGCTTGATGTCTTCCTTCAGTATTATTACATGCATTAAGGTGTAAAGAAAAGATGACAGTGGCATTGTCCCATGTCCACAAGTTTGAAATGGGTATGTGCATCAGTGCTAAGTAGTCTTAACTAGAAGATTTTTTTTAAGTGTGGACTATGGCTAAATATTTTATTAAAGCAACACATTTTAAGGTCAGTTTGAAATTGATCTAACTTGGGAGACATTATTATCTAGAGAAGATGTTATAGCCAAAAGATATATCTTTTTTGATGTTGTGGCCTAACCCTTTCACATACTGGTTTCTTTAACATTATTCCAGGGTCTTCCAGTTCCAGATGTAACGCCACCAGTGCAAGAAAAGAGCAAGAAAATTGTAACTCAAAAGACTTTTACTAAAGGAATGATGGACATTTCTCTGTTGACATCTAATGCTACACAGCTGCGCTCCATTATCCTGGACCAACATAATACATTTCGAGACCTACTCATTGTGCTACTGATATTATCAATATGTCTCCAAGTCATTTCTACATTATCACTTATCCTGGCTGACTCCTTCAAAACAAATGACACAAAGAAAAATAACTCAAACCTTAGACGAGGTTTAAGTTTTTTTTCAATGGCATTAACCACTCTAGTGACTGTTGTCAATATATTGATATCTGCATTTTATTTGCCGGGAGACCATACTCGCCAATCTATAGTACACTGACTGAGGAGCTCAAGTGCTGTGTTGTCCATTTTATAACACACTGAATGAGGAGCTCAAGTGCTGTGTTGTCCATTTTATAGCACACTGAATGAGGAGCTTAGGTGCGGTTTTGTCCGTTCTATAGCACACTGACTGAGGAGCTGAGGTGCTGTGTTGTCTGTTCAACAGCACACTGACTAAGGAGCTGAGGTGTGGTTTTGTCTGTTCTGTAGCACACTGACTGAGGAGCTGAGGTGCTGTGTTGTCTGTTCTATAGCACACTGACTGAGGAGCTGAGGTGCTGTGTTGTCTGTTCAACAGCACACTGACTAAGGAGCTGAGGTGCGGTTTTGTCTGTTCTGTAGCACACTGACTGAGGTGCTGTGTTGTTTTGTTATAAATCATGTGCAGCCTTTTTTCAAAATTTTATGGAGTAATATCTGATTGTAATTGTCAAGGCACAGGTGCTTCTAGTCGAAAGGAGGTTCTTACTTATTGTCTGTGGTTATTGGGGGAGATTGCAGAATATTTTATTCTTACTCCCCAGTCGTAGTCAGATGATAACTCATTTAGACAAGCTCCTGCAGTAATAGTGTTAAATTGCCAAATGTGTCTTTGTTAGTCCCCTGCTGGTGAAACTGACGGGAACAAAAGTTTCTTCTCTTGATGTCTGCCTGTCTGTTTGTGTACATACATATATAGCGCCAAAGTTTGTCAGTGATGTTACCATTTCAGTTACTTAGGCCATTCTCACTTTGATCAAAACTCATACGCTTACAGATGGCCAAATTATCTAGGACAAGGTCAAGTTTCAGTGGTTTTTGGTAAAGGTCAAGTTCATTGTTACTAATTTTAGAAAATCTTTGTCAGCACTCTTGCAGCCTCACTTCACGAGGGAATTTCATCACACTTCATATTTATTTAAAGCGCTAAAACACTCCACCTGTATGGGACATGTATTGCTGAATGTATGTTTGTTAATACACTAAAAAATTAAGTCAATTGAAGTTTGAATATTTGACTCCAGCAATTGATCAAATCAAACTGAGTATATTTTGTTAAACAATTGCTGGTTTTCTTCATTAACAATACAATCAATGAATATGCCTTGTGATTTCAAGATTCTACATCAAATTAAAAAAAAAATGAAATAAATCATACAAAACTGGATGTCATTGCCAAGCCAAACACTGAATAGTGACACATTAGTACCTTATCTCAAACCTCCATTCTTCACATACTCTTTACTGGCACATGATATGCTAATAATCTATTAAGTACACTATAAACATTGTTTACTTTACTGTATAATCCGCATCTGATGTTAACCACAAAATTCATTTTCATGAAAGGTGGTATCAAAAAAATGTTTTTTTTTTTTTTTTTTTTTAACTGAGAGTTTGAAAAGGATAACAAGGTTGTGATGAAACTACTAATGTAATTTTAAGAACTTTGATGTCATGTTTGCTTTTCAGTGTGTCTGTTGACTTTTCTTATATGAATTCAAAATTATGTCTAACTAAGTAACTAATTTACTGAATTTCTAGAAGAAAGTCGACTTGTAGAGGCATCTCCACAGGCAGCTGTTCATTTGGTAACTGTGACAAATACGTTTATTTTAAGTGAGGTAAAGGAAGCTGATAAATAGTGTTAATCATGTATTTTGAAAAAAGTCGATAGCTATTTTCATGTATAGATTTTCTCTGTGTGATGGATAATTGTATCACTAGTTTAGGAACAAATGGGTACCCTCTAATGACCATTTGTTTTCTGAAACCATGATGGTAGGATTCTCATGTTAAGTACCATGCAATCGAAGGAGGCTCATATTGACTGTTTTAAGAACGTTAGAAAGAATTTTGTGTCCACCATAGAGACATGTCCTGGTAAAGAAAGATATAAAAGTCTGAACAGTTGCTATGCTGATGCCAGCTGTTTAAAAACTGTGTATAGGAGCTTCATTCGAATTAAATCAAAGTCTGTAAATTTTATGATCCTGTTGACAGGATTTCTTTAATGTATTAAAAAGAGATTACAGGTAGAAATATATGCACAAGTTAATTTTTTGCAACTGTGAGGAAATATATACAAGAACTTCAGTTTTCTCCCATTGGAGTAGAGTAGATAACCATAATGGGAGAAGAATGCTTGTGTTTAGAAAATGGTAAAAATTTTGATGTTTTATTACAGGTGAAAGGGGTCTCCTTTCCAAAACTGTACGAAGCAACCACCATTATGGATATCAATGTGCAAAGTGATATGTACTATATACTTTTATAATATTTTGTTAATATTCTAATGTATTCTATTGAGAATAGTTTATATATTTTTATACACTTCATTGTTTTGATAAAACCTTGTATAATTGATCTCATCACATGATCATATCATTCCATGTTATAACATGGATCGGACACAAATGTTGAAAAACTTGGGCTTTTTAGGTCAACTGAGCCGAAGGCTCATGGTGACCTATTGCCATCATGATTTGTCTGTCGTCATGCGTCGTTAACTTTTCACATATTCGACTTCTTCTCAAGAACCACTGAATGGATTTTGACCAAACTTGGCATAAAGCTTCCCCATGGGAAGCCGCTTCAAGTTTGCAAAGAAAAAGGGCATGACCCAAATAGGGGCCCCAGGAGGGGAAAAAGGGGGTAAAATTAGGTAAATCTTTAAAAATCTTCTTCTCATGAACCAACTGTCAGATTGAATTCATATTTGATATTTAGGGTCCTTATGGCAATGTCTACAAAGTCTGTGAATGAAAAATAAATCGGGTCAAAACGGCCCCACTAGGGGGCGCTCAAAAGGGTCAAAAATTCAACTGACCAATTTCAACCAAATTTGGTAGACAGCATACCTTAGTGAAGGACATATGAAATTATGTTGAAAAAAGTGATTAAGGGGTGTAAAAGGGGCCATATGTAAAAACCTTCCTTAAATGACTTCTTCTCAAGAAACATTGGATGGATTTTGACCAAACTTGGCACTAAGCATCCCCATGGGAAGCCGCATTAAGTTTGCGAACAAAAAGGGCGTGGCCCTAATAGGGGAAACTTGATACGAATGTTCTACACAAGGTCCTGGCAAGTGTTTTAACTTTTTGGGGCGATTCAAAATCCAAGATGGCCACCCTGGCCTCTGTTTGGCTAAGACATGATGGACTTCCTCTCAAGAACCATTGGGTGGGTCATGTTCAAACTTGGTACAGATGTTTTACACATGGTCCTGCACAAGTGTTGTTATATTTTTGCAACATTTTAAAATCCCCAGATTATTGACATATATTCCTCAGGTGACCGTTAAGGCCCCTTGGGCCTCTTGTTATTTTTGTAATTCTGGTAAATGTAATTTGATAAAAAATAAAACTGTTAAACAGATTTGCTGTTTTGGTTTTTCCTGCACAAATTTGTAATCCATAGATACCCTCTATAATACACCATTGATTTACTGTCCTATCTATAGCTGTCTTTGAAATCCATATGTTCTTTTGTGATATAGTGCCTGCATCATTTAAATAACGTTATGAATGAAAGTTAAAAGCTTATGGTTAAGAATTTGATTAGTTCAATATATTTACAATCAGACCAATCACAAGTCTGTTATGTTCTATGATAATAACAAAGGGGCTATTTTTAACCTATGTTGTTTTTATCATTACACTTAAGTGAACATTTCCCTACTTTCTCCAATTTCATATGTAGTTTCCCCATAATTGAACCAGGTTTATTTTTGGACTGATCAGAAAACTAAAATGACTAACAGGGGATCATCTTGAATTTTGTCTATGAAGGTTAGATTGGCTTCCAACCCCTTACATAAAGAAATACTTTGCTGCATTTGTCTACTACCTTATTTTCCCTTCTTGTGAAACTCAGGAACCAGAGCTATCTAAGAGATGAAAACTATAAAATCGATTTTTTGTTTTATGTTTTTTTTTTTTAGCTTTTTACTTTTTTTACTTTTTTTTAATTTTATCTATTTGTTTTTTTGGTTTTTTTTTTGTGATATTTGTTTAAAACTTTTTAAACAAATTTCTATATATTAAATATTTGAGAGAAAGAGGCCAGTTCACATGAAAATTTGTCTTTGCTTTTTTAGGTCATCTGACCAAAAGGGTCATTATGATATTTCAAAATTCTTCTCAGGTTTTACCTGTGGGATTGAGATCAAACTTGCATGAAATGATCCTGAGTTGGTCCTGACCAAGTGTTGTTATTTTTCGGATATGTCTGAAATCCAAGATGGCCGCCATCTTGAAAAACATAAACTTCTTCTCCAGATCCACTGGTGCCATTGAGCTAAAATTGGTGGGGATGTTTATGAAAGGTAGTCAACAAAGTTTTGTTATTTTTCAACCTTGTCAAAACTTTGATACGGCAGTCAGCAAAGTCATTCTGTAACGTGATTGCGCAATCATGGCTTTCCTGTGCAACATCTATTTCAATTTTCTTCAAATTTCACCACATGGATTGAACTCCAACTTTACTATCAAAAAATAGGTAACACTTGTTACAGTTACCTACTCCTCACCAAAACTACCATTTGCATCATGGAAAGCAGCTTCTTAGTAAGGTTTCATTCAAAGCAGAAATTCCATATAATCAAAAAGAAACATCCGAAAAGAAGGAAAAAGATCCAACTTTGAAAGAACAAATTAAAAAAATAAAGTAATGGTGGGCACAAACATAAAATAACTACAGTTAATGAGTGTGAGAAAAGTGTGTTTGTCTTGAAAACCTACATTTGAGAAGGTCCTTACTTATCTTAGTCTATAGCTAAAAGCTGTGATATTGAGCAAACCTATCCAGAGTACTGATAAAGTCCCGCCCCTCATATCTAACGGACAAGTCACGTTATAATGTGCATCACATTAAAATGTCTTTAAGATTTACCAAAATTCTAAATTTCATGACCCCAAATTTTATTATAGTTTTTATTGGTAATTGAGTATAATCGGTTTGGTTTCAGTTGGAAATAATTCAGATTTGATTAGATCTGGTGATAGGGGATGATCCTTTCATTCAGAGTATTTCCTCTGAATAAGATTTCTGAAATCAAATTTGACCCACTTCAACCTCTGTTATAAGCCCATCCGGTTCAGTCTGCAGGGTGTTTATGCCCAAACCATTAAATTGCCAGTCCAAACTTTTATGAAATTATAATCAAATTTAAAATTATAGCCTGGTTTTGATTGTTTCCAATGGGAATTTTAAAAAAAAATGTATGCCGCAATCAAAATTTACTTTTCTTTTACAAACGAAAGTTAACATCGTCTCCTCCCTAGTAGAGAAACTCACATTTTTTGTAAATCACATAAATACCCTTTCATCAATTAGCAATCTGATTAAAACAAAGATTGATCAATGAAGAAGATTCGATTCTGCCATATCCGTGTCTTTAAAAGATTCCTGAAATTTCAGTTATTTTGACCCCTTGTGACCCTGCCAATCATCCCATCAGATGACACCGAGATGTTATATACATTTTACAATGCAGTTAAAGTTATCGTTCTTTGTTAAGTAATTTCTGTGATATTTTCAGACCAGAAATTTCAGTCAATTTGTCTCCTTTTTGTCTCACCTCTCTGGCCGCTGTAGGTACAAATAAAGCCTTATTTTAGTCTTAGTTTCATTTTATTTTTGGCCATGAAAAGGGGCTATTAAACTTAATTCAAGCTTGTTCGGGTGTTTGATAAGAAGTCAGAATGTCATTTGTTTACGAACGGATGACGCATCCACCACAATACCAGCTTACTGAAAGTTAACAAATCAATTGGTAGATATTAACATTAAATACAGTGTAAGGCAGCTTTACAACTGCTTTATTAGACACAAAATTTTAACAATGGACAAGAACTCTGTAATTAACGGTATGTAGGCCCCGACTTTTATACACTGCACATCGTTTTAGTATGAACAATATATACACCAAGCTTCCTTTATCCTAGTTTACTTGCAAAAAGGCTCTAAAATGACTCAAAAGTTTTAACAAATGGCAATAACTCTTTAATTAATTTGTTGCAGACCTTGACTTCGGTACACCAAGTGGGACCAATGTATACACCAAGTTTCATCATCCTAGTTTAAATGCAAGCATACTTATGGCAAAAGGACACTCTGTAATTAAGGAGTTGCGGACCTGTATATGGTACACTGCATACCGTTTTAGTATGACATCAATATATACATACAAGTTTCATGATCCTTGCCCCACCCCCACATTACCCTCACCCCTTTAAAATATGCAAGGAAGTATAAAAACGTATATTCTTCTGAATTGTCAATTGCGACTGTGCAGGGTAGCCCTTTACATTTCATCTGTACAAGCTTGCTGTAACTATTGTTATGTGTTTATGATATACGATATCTCTAAACATGAGCTGGATCATTTGTTGATGAGACCTCCAGATACATATGTGAAATATGTAAACATAAGTCGTACTGTGTTTAGGAGACCTCGAAAGTGAGCCATATGTTATGTGTTCTTGAGACTTATACAGATGTTTTTCACACAGCGCTCGTACCTGTGCAAATTGGAACTGCAAACGCTAGTCGTAAATGTGCAGATTGGACTTTCATCGGACGTGTAAACGTTGGTCGTAAATATGCAGATAAGACCTGCACGGGGACTGTATAAAGTTGGTCGTAAATGTGAGATGGTTCTGTAAACGTTAGACGTAAATGTGCAGATGGGACCTACACGGAACCTGTAACCGTTAAGCGAAAAAAAATACAAAAAGGTGTCCTTGAAGTGTTTAACAAATTATTAAATCTTTGTTCGAGTCTGTTCATTACAGGTGTGGAATAGGGGGTTTAAACCTCACAAACATGTCGATATCTTAGTGTGTCACGTCGGCCAGGCCGCGAATTTAGTACTTTGAGGCTTCATATCGCTTTCCTGCAAAGTATGTTATATAACTATACAATGATTGTTAGAAACAATAATATCACACCCCTGAAAAAGGTGGATGCATCTCCTCATCCCTCTACAAAAGTACAAAAGCCAAAGAGATAATTCAAATATTCGCCGTGGCATATGTTGATTAACGGATCATGATGTGTGAATTGTAGCGATGACTTTGCTCTTATTATCCAATGAGAAATCGTATAAAATTTATGATGTTGAAAATGGAGAAAACTGTGAAGTAAGACAAAAAAACGAACAAAACAATAGTTGCGAATATTGATAAAACATGTATGTATCACAGGTTAGACTGAGACATATATGTCGGCATCACAGGTGGAGCCCTGGGGCAGTAAATACCAAATATATGATGTATACAGGTAAGCATCGCAAGGGGAGACTGAGACGTACAACCGGCATCACAGGTAGTGATCTATGGCAGTAAACACCAATTATACAGGTAAAATCCAAGGGTAAGGCTGAGACATCATTTACACACTGACAAAAGCAGTAAGCACCGGTTATATCACAAAAAGCCACAGATGATATATAAATACATACGATATATAATGGGAAACGAACTACAGGTGAAATAAGCAATGTCCCGATGCATAGCGATATGATAAAAAAAATTATGAAAATTGCCGAGAAAAAACTTTCCCAAGATTATTTATTTTTCCTTAGAATAGAAATAGAAACATGATTCGGGAAATGTCTCAATGATCCTGACCAAGAACGATAAGACCACGTCCCTGATCCTGATTGCAATGTCAGTTGCGTGTAGCTTGTTATCACAAACCGCCTTTATAATCGTTTGTATAAAATTTCAGGGTCAAAATGAGCTCTGGGTTTTTAAATGAAGCTTTAGTGAAAATCTTATATTTTTATGTGTCTAACATCGGATATCGTGAAATTATTCGAGTCGTATACTATTGTTAGGTGGGGTTTTTTTTTACAGTATCGTTCTATTATGCTGTTGAAATACAGACAATAAAGATATATGAGTTATCTCCCTTCAGTAAGTTGTTTTCGTCAGTGACTCAGCTTCAATCTACTACGGAAGTGTGGCCCAGGGTCAGGTAGAACCATTGATTCATAAACGTCAACGATGCGGCCTTGGATTATTGTCATTGTATACATGTATAATTTAATTGTAGTTTAACGTTCATCTAAGTGTTGACTTCTTATATATAGTTTCTAGAACCGGGAAAATAACTCAACAGAAATTGCTCACGAGAATAGGTTCATTAAAATTTGTCATAATGAAATGCAGTGATCATTTATTCACCAAACTAAATGACATTAATTTGAATATATATGCATACTCACAAAGAAGTGTTATTTAGACGGTTATGTTTTTTAAAACGCCTGTTTAATATATATATAATTCACTGTTGTCTAATGCTTTTGGTAATGTTTGTTTTCATTATCATGTCGATAGCACTGAAACAGAAAAACATATTTTTACAATGCATTTGTATTTTAAGCCACGATTAACTAAAGAATTAATTTAAATTGGAAATATTTTCAACGAAATGCTGTATAAATTCTCGATAGATTATTTGATAAAATCTCATCGAGATTTTAATTACAGTCTCATCAGTTACTTATAGCAGAAGGCAGATATAACAATGCTTTAAAAACTTGTAAAAATATACTCATTTCTTGTAACCAGAATGGGTTAAAAGACAATTTTCATTAATTCTTATTTGTCCGATCACATTTATATCTCTGTAAAAAGTTATTTGAACAAATGGAATCGCCCATCGCGATTGCGTTTGTTCAGTTGCTAATAGTGCAAAAAATAAATTGTCATTTAAGTAAATATTCACTATAAAGTTTATCATTGCGGTCAACATACAGTGTGTCAAACCATCTGTTAAGTGTAATCGCCCAGTAATGAACATTTTTGCCGCTTATACGTCATGTTGATTCCGCGCGGATAATGTCCGGTATCAGATTAATTCACTGTTTAAGGCATCTACCAATCTCTAAACCATTTCAAACATTATATCTAGCATCCAGTTGTCCATCCATTGATTTTTAAATCTTTAAGGCTTTTAATTAATAAATATCGCATACGTTCATGGAACTCAATTGTTTTAGTGAATGAACTATTTACCCCAAAAAATCTCGCGATTCACTGCCATGAAAACTTGCTGTCATCAATTAGAGCCTGTCGCTGGGTTCTTGTATGTTTGTATTGATTCCGTAGTGCCGTCAATTAAATTTTTAAAAAATTCAATAAATATTTCTTTATTGTCAGAGAGAGAGAGAGAGAGAGAGAGAGAGAGAGAGAGAGAGCCCTTTGAACACTGAGCAATCTCTCAACAGAAAATCTTGAACAACCTTAGTTGATTTGTTGCATATAAAAGACTTTAAATACTCTAATACAGAATATTCTGAATTAACATGCAATAGTATTAATTGATCAATTGAGATGGTGTCTTGCGAAATCAAGCATATGAATATTCAGTTTTCACCGACAAGCCCAAACACGTGACCTCACCAGTCACAACTCTATCTAAAATATATTTCATGTTGATACACAACTTTCATGTGATTTATTTATACCATAATCTTTTTAAACGAATATCTGTCTGTAAACTAATATTCTAACAACTAGACATGAGTGTAGTCAAAAATCCAAAGTTGAAACAACCCAAACGTAAATCAATTCGATCGTCAAATGCAAGAGAATAAACTGCATTCCTTAAAAAAAGGAACTGATATTTCGAGAATTTCATATCATATACACTTTTTTTAAAATAAATGTCATCAATGAGAACATATATTCTATCAACAAGATCTAATTTGAGATTTAACATCTGCAATCCGGATTATTTCAAAAGTAATTTAATTACGGATCTATCCGTGTCAATTTGCTTCGTAATCATTACGTATTTATTTATTTAAAAAAAAAAAAAACATTTCGTGCATTTCACTTTTATCTGAGTTTTCTTATTAATCATACATGTGTTAATGATAGTCTTTCTAGATTATATTGGTTAACGGAAATATTTCACCAATTGATGTCATTTCCACAATTAACAAAACTTATGCAAAATAACATTTGCCTGTGGAGACATAACATATTTGAATAATTTTACGAATAAGCTCTTGGATAAACATGTATAAAAGTGTGCGTGTCCTACATTTTCCCCGAAATCTACACACACGAGGGAAACCACCTTACGCACACTTTCATTCTGCTGTTCAGTCTACCATTCTGCAGCCGTTCCCATATGTCTGTAGAAATGTTTATGTATTATGGATTATATTATCATTAAAAAATGGCTTTTAATTATTTTGAAAATAATAATGCATAGTGAATATTACATAAGTAATTTAGATAACTAATTTAGATTTAACAAAAGTTTGTTTACACTCATATCTTACAAGGGAGGTAGTGTGAATGATTTACTCTCTAAAGTCTCACGCGTCTGACCAATCACGCAATTGCTCCTAGAGGGATATGGGAAATGACGCATTACAACTGAGGTAATGATAGCCCGCATTTTTCCTCTATGGCAGATTGAGCCCTATGAATTTACACCTTACCCAACGCCATTACTGCGCCAGAAAGAATGGCAGGGCGTACTCCAATATACTGCAGGATATCATGGATTTCAAGGCATGATCTACGCTGAACTGCACATCAACAGAAAGAAGAGGAATTTTTACATCATTTCAGATATTGTGTTTGCTCCGGGGACTTAAAATGAATGCATAATAAGCGTCGGAAAATGATTCAGACATAACTTCATGCATGTGTGCATAAGGGACGTGGCCAGATCACGTGGTCAGCTCCTTTTTGCTATTTAATTATTCGTTTCTCAGAGAAATGACAACATTTCTGTGTACTTGCACCTTTACGAACTCTTATCTGACATTTGGATATACACTATGGTGAAATAGTTGGCCTTTGGACGGAGACAACAGCTGATTTGCGGTTTGTTTTCATTTGTGAATCTCGACAGGGAATTGACAAAAAAGTCACGTGCTCTGTAATTATATTAGGAAAAGACGACAAGATTTGTCAGTCACACGAATTTTCGGTGTCTTTTTAGAATGTTATTATAAGAATTGGTATCTTGTTTGAATTTCGTGATCGTTACAACCTGCCATATCTGATGGTAGACATCAAGGGGAGGTCGCGTTTATGTCGGTCCCCCTTTCGTTGAGAGTATGTTGTATGGCCGCTATGGCTCCCGCTCTTACGGAAGCGGCCACACAAGCTCGTATCAAACTCTCTGAATCCCCACCACCAGCTCCACCCGAACTGCCAACACCCCTTCTGAACGGGAACGGACTGACCCATCACAAAACTGAGAAGATACCTGCAGCGTCGTCTGAACGCGACAGGTTGGGCGCACCGTGCGCCAAAGGTAAACAAGGAAGAGGCATCGTGGGGTTCACCTCGCATTTGACCTTGCAGCAATTACAGCAGGCGCACAAACAGGGGTTACTCAAACCGGTTGGATGTAAACAAATAACAGCGGCCAACTTAAAACACTTGAAATTAGTTCAAAAATTGCCCCAAATTTCACAAGAACATTCTCTGTCTTTCTCTGTTTTAGAACAGAACAGCAATCAAATTGACGCTGATGAGAAAATGAACAAGACGAACTCTGTTATTGAGACAAAAAGCACAGGTAAACAAGGAGGATTGATAAGTCAAATTAAACGTGAAGATTTTCAAGTTCCAGAAAAGCGAAATATTTCGAACAACAAACAATCATTGAATGTGAAAGAATTGAGTTCTGGTGTAGACATTCAACATACCTCTAGTAGTAATAAAGAGACTGAGCACAAAGTTGAAGTTCCAGTCAACAATTTAATATCTTCATCTGGATCTGATATGGTTGCCTCAATGGGGAACGGCCCAGATGTCAGTGAAACCCCAATTAGCAAATCGAAGGAGCAGACTGAAACTGTCTGTGAATTAGGGGCTAAACAACTCAAATTATCAGAACAGGTTGGTCGAAAGCAGCATGTGTTGGAGAGACGCACACAGGCCTTGCTTCGCAGACTTCGTCGCATTCAAGGAAATCATCTAGAAAGTCATGTTAGGAATCAGTTGAGCAGTTTTGTTAATTTTCAGAATAGTAACTTGCAGACAGTGGCAAAGACCATAAAATCAAATAATAGTAATAACAATGACCTTAAAACAGACTTGTTTCAGAGTGAAGATGTGAAGAATTTATCAACTGCAGCTCTTGTTAATCTTGTTAGAAAGTTACAGTCCTCAAACAACAATAACAAGACATCGCTGCAACGTCTGGTTAGTCAGACGAAGACCGAAAAAGACATTGTTTCACAGGGCGTCCTATCTATAGATGAGGAGACATGCATCGAGTCCAGCCGTGTGGCAGGACACCTCACTATGAACTTGAAGCATGCACAAAGTGCCATAGATTCTGATGCTACGGAAAGTAGTTCTGGAGGAGAGAGTTGTGATGAAGATGATATTTACTATGACAGAGATCCAAAGGCAACATTAAATCCTTTGTAAGTAATGAAAGAATGCTGATCCTCAGTAATGTTGAAACAAATTTAATGTTGTTTTCTTGTGATGGATCGGGCTAAGTTTTAATGTGTCAGTGCTGTCATAAGGGTTATAAGTATTAGTCCATTTATGTCCCAAATTAAGAAAACTGTTTCTAGTTCCCCATTGTACCAAGCAGTGGATTAAAAGAGCTTTAGTGTATTTTTTACCCACAGAATTTGTTGAAAAAACAATTTGGAAGACTTGTCTGTAGTTTTAGAATGACAAATATTTTATTAAATGACAGAAGAGCCTGAATCAGTCTGGTGTTCAATCATGGACTAGCATAAGTTATGCTTTGTAAATATTTTATGATTAGAATATCAGGAACAGAACACATTAAATAACCATTGTGGATCTGAACATCATAAGCTATTCTTGCTTGTCTTCTGTTCAGAAGTGTTATCACCTTTGCTACCATGATGCTACATTTCCTTGCTAGTGGTATAACGAGTCCTGACCTTGCATAACCAAACAGCCTCTGTTTATGTCTTTGTGACAATGTTTAGTGGGACTCAAGTTGAAGGAAAATTGAATTGTTCTGGGAATTGTTGAGTTAAATACCCATATGTATTGCATCAGTTTGTCATGGCTATTTATAGCTCATCTATCGCCTACCATGTGCCATGATGTGGGCTATGTATTAACATCGAATTTTACAGCACTAGACTGCTTGATGGGAATGAAATGATATATATTAAATGTCAAATGATTATCAAGATATTTTGTCATTCACTGGTTTGTGTCAGCTTTGGCAATTAAAATAGAAAACTTAAAAAACATGCCATTCTTGACCCTTTAAAAACAATGGAAAAATAGTAGTGTTAAAAGTAGCTGCATTTGTAATTTGTGTTTTTTCCAAGAATGTTTTCAAAATGTCTCAATTTGTACGTAACAATTAATGCGGTGTTTATATATGTATTTCTTTCTACAATGAACTGTACTTGATTGACATTGAAACTAGTTTTCTGTTGAAAGGGAAGTTTTAAGCTTACAAATGTACTTATACAGTAAATAAATGAAGATAAAGTCAGGCTTGATTATGTAGGCTTTGTTAACAAATAATATACCATGCAACAATTTACATGAATTTATATTGCAAATGATCTGATTATATAGAAACCACTTTTTGGTGTTAAATGGGACTACAAAAAGGAAATCAAATCAAGGAATATATAACATGTACCTGATAAAATATGCTATAGAAATTACAGGAGAAAATTGTTTTTAAAAAAAAAAGGAAAACCCTGGTGAGGTTTCTACCTGATTTCACTTATTGTAATATGATTTCACTTATGTAACGTGATTTTTTATCAAGTCTATGATATAGAATTAAACAAACATCGTATATATTTCATTTTCCATTCTTAAAAAGCTTTAAGAAGTTAGGGTCAGTATTTAGATTAAATCAATGTGTGAATGACTATGTGCTATAAAGTAACAAAAATTGGCATATTATCAACCTCTGACCCAGCATTAATATATTCTTGGCAGGTCAGATAAAACTAATAGGTGATTAAATATGTGACTCTGAAACAACAGGGATTCAGTAGTGAAACAATATTGTCGATAATATGCTGTCACAATTTGATGCATACCCAAGATTTCAAAGGCTTCTGCATTATGCAAGGTTTTGTATGATGGTGGGCTAATTAAGTCGCCTTTTGTCTATCGTCTGTCCACAAGCAATTATTGTTATGTTGTTGTCTGGAGTACAGATTTCATTCCAGTAGGTTCCCCTTTTTTCTGATGGTTCTTTTTCTAGTTTTGGGATGGAAAGGAAAATCAAAAGAGCTGAACCACAGCCATATGTCCAGTGTCAACTTTTTCATTTAAACAACTTCTTCGCAAGAACTAGCAGACCAAATGTTTTGGTATTTTTTGGCTGATGGGTTGCTTAGATGGAGCTCAACAGAGTTTGTGAAAAGAAACTGGAGTCAATTTGTTAAAACCTTTAAATATCCTTTACTAACCAAAATGTCCAGAAGCATGATATTTGACTGATAGGTTTCTAGTATGAATCGAGACGAAGTTTGGGAAAAGAAAAGACCTTGAACCTTATTCAAGGTCACAGGTCAAATTTGTTAATCTTTAAAACATTTTTTTTCTGATTGACCAAAATACCTAGAAGTATGTTATTTGTCTGATAGGTTCATAGGATAAAGACTGACAATTGTTAGGGGAAAAAAATGACATTGAGCTGTTTTCAAGTTCACAGGGGTTTATTTTGTTAAAATCTTTAAATGACTATATTTAATAAACAGCCAAAAGACCCATACCCACAATGTTTGAAGATACATTAATAAGATAATGCTTGTTTTAAGTTAGTTGAAAATAATGATGTAAAATGCTGATGTATTTAAGGTGAGCATTGAATACCAGGTGAGGATGCAGGCCCATCTGGCCTTTTGTTCGTTTAAGGTTTGATCAGAAAAACAAAATGGCCAACATGTACAGGTCATGACCATCTTGGATTTAGACTGTGTTCTTGAGAAGCACTGGCTGGATCGTTTCCATATTTCATCTGTAGCCTAGCTCTGATTCCTGGTGCATTATCTATTTGAGGGGGGGGGAGAGGCACAAAACGGTCATTTGCATGGCCAACTTTTAATTTGATAAAACAGCGAAAATCTGGCTCCAATTTCTTCAAACCAAACCATTTTGCACTAGCAAAGATATATTAAAATTTTGCAATTAGATGTGGTTACACTAGAAATGATTTTGAAAAATGAGCATTTTCTTTATTATATTACCACCAATTCTGTGTTGAGATTCTATTCATGTTTTATCTAGAAAGAATTAGATAAATGTTAATTAATTGTTTTTAAATATTATTAATTCTTTAATGAAGTTTTATAAAAATACAATTCACAGTACAACATTTTTCATTTGAAGAATGATCAAAAGAATCAGGATTGTTTAAATAAAAATTGGCTTATGAATAATTTACATGATATTGATTTTTGGAAATCTTTCAAGATCATCGTATATGTATAAAATATTTTTAGTACTGTCAGATGATAAATATGTAATTGTTTATGATAAAGACCTTTAGTTTATTTCATGCTGCAACAGGGGCATTTCTTACTTGGTTACAATATTGTCATTGTCAACCATTTAATTATTGCCCTTTAAGGTTAGTCATGGCATCTCTTTTTACATTCCTGGTAAATGAACTCATGTTTTTCGTTTAGGCATCGGAGAGCTGAATGGAAATGGGCAACAGATCGTGCAGCAGTGGCTTCAAGGTGGACATGGCTTCAGGCACAAGTGTCAGACCTAGAATACCGTATTCGACAACAGAGTGAAATTTTTAAACAAATACGACACACAAAGGGAAGTGTGATACTGGGCGAGGCGCCTACTCCTGAAGATTTGAGTGTTAGACTTAAACAAGTGAGGGCAGCAGATTCCAAATTGTCCCCGCTGGATGCTAAAATTGCTAATTTGCAAAAGAAAAATGAAGCTTCGCCATGTAATATCTCAACTTTGCTCATGAATGTGAATGTGCAGGCATCCAAATTGACAAAGTCTTTAGGGAATTGTCTGTCACCTGCACAGGAGGGTGGTAATAGTAATAATATAGGGGATGGCAAATTAAGGGGACAGCAAAATCATAGTACAAAGCCCCTGAATGGTATGATAGGACAATCCCATGAACATGGTGCATCAGGAATGTCCTCTGATGCTCCAAGTACGCCACAAACAACACAAGGAGCAATAGGACCAACAGGGGATAGTGTTGCATCAACACCTGAGGTCCCAACATCACCATTCCCACCTGATATGACTTGTCAGGCAGCCAGGTGTCGGCCTGTACGAAGCTATCGGAAACGAAAGCTTCTTTGGACATCTGGTCTGCACCAACGTAGCCGAAAAGCGGCACGGTTATCTACTGTCCGATGTGAGTGTTATCCTCCGAAGTCATCATGTCCCATGTGTGGTGGACGGTATAACAATACCCAGAGTGTTAATCCTGACAACATGCCGATACAGGAGCGTGTATCCATCCTGGACCCTGCATTTCATCCCGTTTTGTCTTTCACACAAGGTAATTTTTAGAACAGTAGTGATATATATGTACATGTTGTGGTGTTCTTGGAATGCAATTTCTTTTTTTACTCTATTGCTTCAGTTTTTCCACAAAATTTGTTAAGGCCATTTTTAAAAAAGCAAAGAGGTCAGATTATAAACTTTTCTCCATTAAAAACGAGATACATGTTTATGAGTAATATGTTCATAGACATTTAATGTGTGGTACTGTTAAGTACATGTATGTATCCATGGTGTTACATTGTTTTGAATTTAGTAAACATAATATGAATATGAATAATATGTGATTGACGGTTGTAGATAGTATTATTTTTGTGTTGTCTTTGAAATTGAATAGTAAACAATTATAAGGCAACATGCATAGGTCTTATAAACATGGCTCGATACTAATGTTATACTATTCATTAAAGACTTTACATTCTGTATGCGAGACTGCTGTAGGGATCAATAATGGCACACACATACAGGGACATTTAACTATCTGGTGGTACTGTTGAAAGACGCCCAGCTGTATGGATTTGTCGTATATGACGATGATGTACACTGTATATTTAGCTATAGATACCTGCCTGTATGCATGTGCTGTGTGATTGATACGGTTCATCCAGTCATAATATATTTAGTTAGACAGATTCATTGATAAATGTACATATCAGTCCCAAGTCCTGTACTCGTAGAATTTTGATGGGACTAGGAGAATTTCTGAAAGTACTGAAAATTTAACGTTGTGGGGCCTATAGTTTTTTTAATCATAAAGTTGAGAGGGATTTGTAAAAACATGTTGTAGATTGATCACTGCAGATTAACATCTTTAACTAAATGACAGTTTAATTTTACCCTAGTGCATCAGTTTTAACTTGCAACATAACTGACAATGCTATCCAGTATTGAAGTGCTTGAAGAATCATACCATTGAAATCTGTCTAGGTCACATAGGGGTCAAGTCAGTGGGAGCAAAAAGCAGAATTAATGCTTTGAAGGCAAGGTCAGCACTGTAGATTACCCTGCAAGGCCGCTCATTCATGTGTATCTTTCAGACGGGTCTGATTGATTCTTTTACAAGTATGAGCTTTTGCTTTGCCAGAGATGGAAGTGTTATGAAGCTAGGCAAGATACTTGTAGGCTGCTGGTGATGCCTGGCCACATATGGGTCCCTATGAGCTGTTCTAAAGTGCTTTGTTGACATCAAAGGGGGTTTTATAGTCTACTAATGATGAATATATATATCTTGACTACATCTATCTTAACCTGTATCCAATACAAGATTCCAATACACAACTCCTCCAGTACACACCCCTGTTGTTAGCTTCATAGTACATTTACTTACTGACACTGTATATGCATCCTCCTCCTGGGGAACTTAATGAAAGTGCTCGGAGAGTTAGATGAAAATAATTTGATACCATTGTGTGTCTCCCCTGTGAATGAGTGAATTGGTACTGGTTCACCTGCAGTAAGCTTTTGGACAAAAACTTTTGAGAAGTGAAAATGTAAAAATTTAGGATCGGAAATAATTTCATCAGACAACAGTATGTGAAAAATTATATGTATTGATATGGAAATTTTTGAAAAAGTTTCCAGTAATAGCCCACTCCTTACTTTTAGTTTTAAGATTTGATATGTTCTATATATAGCCCAGGCAATTATTAGAACGAATACAGCAACTGGAAAATTTTCAGCAAATCTAGTCCATTACCAACAGGTGGTGTTATTGATTGTAATTAGCATATAGCTATATATATTAGGTCGGTTATTTAAAAAAAAAATCACTAAATCTAGCTCTGGTAGGCTTATAGGCAAGGATTCAAAATGTATGAAATAAAGTATAGGTTGCTTTGAGACTTCTGTTCTCCAGGTCAATGGTCATTTTGAATTTTTAAGAGTGCAGGGACAAGTTTCTTCAGAAAATGTTTGTTTTGGTCATGGTCATCGAGGCCGGAAATTCAAAATCTTAGTTTCTTTCTTTTAGTTGGTAGGTGTTCTGTTTCAATCTTAATCAAAGTTGATACAGTCAGGGTCACAGGACAAGGATCAATACCAACAGATTTCATCTCCAGTGTCTCCTCACTGATAAATAATTGCTGTAATGCATTTTAATATACAGATATTTATATGTTGAGGATAATTGGACAATTGGACCATCTACAGAATATATATTGTATGTTTAAAATCTTCGGTATAATTGTATCTTACTAAAAGTAGAGAAATGTTTAGTAGGGACAAGGGGACAGGTGATAATATAACTGCAAGAAAACTTTGAGATCAGGTTTCTGAAATGTCCTTGCATTTGATAAGTAGTGTTATGATATAGAACAAGATAAGATGAACAATATTTGTATGTTTATTAATTTTGACTCCAGTCCTGTGGTAAAGTCTCCATCAATTTCTTAAATTGGCTGATATATATTGCCAATCAACGTCAACAACATGATCTATTTTGGTTACATGTACAGAAACAAGACGATTTTATGGAAAATTAGATTGGTGATATCCTATATATAGCTAACAGAACTAACAAGCACTGAAACAAGGTTTGTAGTTAGCACAATTTTAGGCTGCTTTCTAAGTTGATGAATAATTTCCATCTTATGAAGAATTGATGATTTCAAAGAAAGAAAGTATTTCTCCTTGTCATGTGCAGACGAAGTATCTACACAGATGGTGACTTGCATGAATTGTACAGGAGATTTACGTGCAAGTCCTGTGTTGAGGCAGCCAAGGTGATATCTGTGTACATGTTAATTATAGAATCAATACTCAAAGGAAGTACTCTCATTTATAGAAAGGTGATAGTGTGAATGGTTGGGATCAATGCTCAGAGGATGACCTACTTTTTTCTTTTCTTCTGGATTTTTTGTTTGTTTGTTTTTTTCTTAACTGGAGTGATGTCTCTGTGTATGGTTAGTGTCAGAATCAATACTCAAAAGATGGCCCAGGTTTTTGAACAGCATGATTTGTGGTACTGTTTGGTTTTAGCTGTAAAAAAATCTATTGTTTTTTATCAAAATGATGTTTTCTACCAAAATGATGTGTGCACAGTTCAGGGCTCTCGATCTGCCAGATTTTCCCAATGCAAAATAGTATCCTTTTTTTCCCAATTTAGACACCAAGTTTTCCCAATTCTAAGGAAAATGCTGCTATTTTTCCCTAATTCTAAGGGCCCCAGGCCCCAGTCCCAAAATGGGGTGTGAGAGCCCTGCAGTTTGAACCGTTTTACAACAAAGTGATATGTGTATGTATGCTGTGCAGTCTGTATGGTTCTAATTCAACTCGGTATGCAAAGTGTTTTGTACTACTTTTAGTAATGATAAATTCTAGTATTAGAGTATATGACCTATATTTCGTAATCTCGAGTGATCCATTGTGATTCATGTGAACTTCAGGATTGTAGTACATTGTGTATACATACAACATATAAAATGCATTGTAATTAGACAGAGGATAGGCTTGGATTGCTTCTGGAAATAATATTGACATTTCCTTGTACTAAACATGTACATAAATGTGTTAGGAAAAGGCATAAAAAAGCATTTTTAAATAGTTTTATAATGCAAGATATCACAAATGTTGGATATGTATGTAGATGTACATTTATAATTTGATTTGTTTTGGCCACTTAACCATTACAATGTCTTCAGTTGGTGAGGGTGTCAATGATTTAACATTAATATTATACATGTAAAATTGTAGAAGTTCTCATGAACAAAAAAAGTGATGCATTGCATGAGTCTGCTGGTACATACATATGTATACACGTTTGTGTACATTATGTACTAGTGTATCCACCAACAGATAGCACTATAGCAGTGGTAATTGTTGATGGTTACATACTCTAATCATTGGTCAGTAATCAGGAATATATAGACAGCTGGTACCAGTCCTGAATTGATTTTGTAGTCCATAGGATTGCTACTGTCATTCCTCACCTTTACTGACCCAGTATTCATTGTGATGAACTGTGTGGGAAAGTCCTCGGACCTTTTTCTTGTCTGTATATCCATTCATCATTATGCAGTTTATGAGAGCTGCAAAACATTGTTGTGAATACCCTGGTCTTATCTAAAGTCAATTATATTCCTGGTAATCATATATCAAGGTTGTATTAATCTTTTATACATTCCTTCCACACATGTCATTTATGGTTTTAAGTATGATAACCCAACATCATATGTTGTATTGAAGTGGTAGCTTAAGACAACATTTTAAAGCTATATCTAGGCGTGTCATTTCAACTTTAGATGATCATTATGCAATCCAGACAGATAACAGCATTCATATGTCACTAACACAGATATTTATATATATGCACAATATTTGACATCAGTTGGTATATTTCATAAATCCAAGTTGACTGTCATTGTGACCTTCATCCTTAATGTAGGTCGTTTGATCTGAAAGGACACTCCTTACTTACTGGCATATATTTAATGCAATTGTGTAAATTTACTCTTGTGTATGCATGTGTGATCCCTGTGGAAAAGATGATGTCTGGTTGTATCAATTTAATTGCTGTTGACTCAAATTGGACCCTTAGGTATATATATCATTTAGCTGTCTCAGATTACTGATCTTTTCAAGTTTGATATTGTGATGTCATGAAGAATTTGTCATTAGATCTCATATTGTGCAAGTAAAGGAAAAATGCATAACCAGATTATTCTCAAAGGTCTTTGTGTAAGCTGGTGGATAATCTGACAACACAACCAACATGCTTCTTTCAAATTTTCAGTGTGTGATGATATACATAGCTAGTACTCAAAATCTTTTGACAAAAAAGTTATAGTAATTTGTAGTGATAGGAAGATGAACGGATATAATCGATTTTCTGATCATTAAAATTTATCTGATGAGATGATCTATTGTTAGTTTTCATAATCCATCATCAGTAGGCCAATTGCCAATAAAATTCCACAAGCCTCCACATATGTGAGGTATTTTAGGTTAAAGTTACAAAATCTCCATGTAAAAGAAAATATTACTGCAGCAGAGAATGCATTCACTTTCTATGAAAATGTAACACAGAGCCAGCCAATTGATTAATTGATTAACTGCATTGAAAATCTCTCTGATTTTAACAGATGATCTATTACAGATCTTTTATCAATTTCTCATTGTTATTTTTGTTTCCAAAGTAATTTAGAATTACCATAATAATATAAGTATTATATCTGATTATGTATATATACATGTACTGGGATTTCTCTTTAGTTTGTGTCTTTATCATCTAATAGAGCAGAATCAGATCATAATGGAAGATCTGAAAAAGTACACTTGTGTCAGCAAATAACCAAGTGGACTGACCTTGATCTGGTAGATGATTTCCTCCCTCACCACTACTATCATAGCTTTAACAATGATAAGACTATTCCATTCTGTAGTGGAGGGTTGTTAGGGTTTCTGGTTTGGGTCATGCAGATAATAAGATGATTCATGGAGTTTTAAAAGGTCATACATGTCAACAAATACTTGCACAGTGGTGCATGAACAGGTATATATAACCTACATGTGGAACGCATGTATCTTAAACAGAGTGAAATGACCTCAAGTGAAATATTATAGTTTTTAAAAAGTACAAATTGAGTCTTATTAAAAAAATCTGCTTGAAGAGAGTAAAAGGCTATACAAAATGTAAAGAGAAGTGCTAATTAGAGCCTAGCATTCAATACTATATGTAGCACTCTTAAGTAAAATGGGTACTTGTATGGAAATAATTGTACCAAATTTACTATTTTGACTGAAAAATGAAGCAACAGGTCATGTTATATTGAATAATATGATATATGGTTTAGTGGTTCTGTTGACATTGTGTAATACCACTGCTTTGGCAGTGACTCTTTCTAGAATATGAGACTTTGTTTGCCACAAAATATAAACATATGAAATATACCATATGCACATATACCAATAACCATGCTTCAATAGTTCTTTTAGTTTCATAGGCTGACGGGCTAATGTATGATGTATACGTGTACTTTAGAAGTCAACCTTCAGTGAACAAAGTAATGAATCATGCAGTTTTCTCAATATTTTGATCCAGCAATGGGTCTTGTGTCTGGTATTAAGTGTAACCATACACATTGCCACTTAGTAAAATTAAAAACTAATGCTATTTTATAATTTTCATGTCCTGTTAGGCTGTAATAAGTCCACCCCTGATCATGATCATGGGTAAGAAGTGTTGGCTCCCAGGCTTATTTTTTATGTTTAACAATGATAACTATGGTAATTGATGTTATGTTAAGAATTCCTTGCACCAGTTGCTAAGACATATATACTGGTTCATATAATGTTTAAAGTACAAAACTGGTTTCCTGGTAGTGCTCCATATATACATTCCTTACCTGTCGCTGTGTGACCCTGTGCAAGGAAACAAGGATTCTTCTACAGGAGTAGGAGGTAGTCTGTCCAAAATTTTGCATGCTTTCGCTGTTTGTACTTGATGTAAGCTAATGGTTGTATCGGTTGGATTTCATTCTAACTTGTAGAAATGTGTATAAATACTAGTTTCTGTGTGTATAATGGACATGTTGAATTTATATTGAAATACGATATATATTTATGTCTTTTCAGAAATTCCACTTCCTATCCACTTTGAGGCACTTCTTAAGAGCGGAGAATGGCAAAACAAACCTCCACCAAAAAGTGCAAAAGCATTGGCAACAGAGAGAAGGTAGGTTTTCCCTGCTCTACATTTTTATTCACAATATTCATATAGTTTGTGATAGATAGTAAAGTCTAAAGTTCCTAAACTGTATTACTATCATCCAAAATGGGACCATCACTGATAGATTATACTCAGTATAGGAGAAAGCAATATGTATGTAAAAAGAGGGTACACAATGTGTGGTTGTTGTACCGTATTTTACCGCAAATAGGCCACCCCCACCCAGTTAAAAAAGACTTGTCAAAAGAGGGGAGGGGGCTTATTTGCAGGCAATCCCCCTGTTCAGTAGATGTACATGTGTCCGCCATCTTGGATATGGTACTTTCTTCACTCTTGTACGTTATTAGTCTTCCACCTGGATGTGGGGAGATTTTATTTCTGCTTTGTGTCCTCCGTCCTTCCACTGTTTTGTCTGAACTTGACTTGTATACTACTTGTCACTGGAACTGCAAACTTAGGATATACCGGTAGGTTCACCTTGGTGTGATGATGTGTTGTGTATCGCTCTGACCAACATTTTGGCTTTTTACCTTCACCAAAGAAAAAGTTTATTTTGCATATAATATCACATTCAGAGGGCGACTGATATTTGCCAAATTACCTTGTTTTTGAAAAGTTACCAGAAATATTTGCTTCCTCTAGTTTGAAGGGAACATGGATAATTCTTATGCAAGGCAATGGGGTTACATATTTAAGACATGATTTGGCATTGAAGAAGAAGGAACAAGATAATTATTTTTGTTGTGTAGTGGCTGTTATAATATATGTATCACAAAATTGCACATGTAATCTGAAAATGACTATCTAGTCAAAGATAACCATATTTTCTTAACTAATATAGCTTATCTGGTATTCTGTTTGAACGCAATTTATCCACTTTGACTTATAGAATTTATCAAACTGTTAAATGTTGTTGTTTTTTTTTTCATACAAGACGGCAAAAGCTGATGAGTCAACAGCGGGTTAGCAAGAAGACCAAGTATGCCAAGGGTGCAGCTGCTGCTCTTCTGTCTTCTGCAAGTAAGTCTTTACAGTAGCCAATATTCAATAATATGGTTTAATATCCACTAACAAGATGTGAAACCTGGATCTTAGTTCATCTGAATGATCAGAATCTATGCTCATCTAATGGCAAGTAGCTGACTTTACTTATAATGCTTTTAGTGTGACTTACCAATCATAAGCTAGCTAATTTGTTATGTAAAAAATTTCAGTTTACACTGATTGATGATATAGATTGATTATAACAAACCATCGATTCTAAATTATAACAAACCATCAATTCTAAATTATAACAAACCATCGATTCTAAATTATAACAAACCATCAATTCTAAAATCTCAAATGATTCCAACACTTTATTTGAAATCGTCTGTAAGCAGCTGTTAAAGTGAACATGTAATCTTTCAGAGTTACGAAACAAATATGAGAGAAGAACACCAACCAAGCCAAGATCAGGAGGATTGTCCATGACTCCCAAAAAGAGTGCAAAAGAACGGCGACTTGCACGTTCAGATATGAAGAGACGAAGAGTGGCTCAGCTAGCTATGGGTATGCAGAATCATATGTAGAATTTAAATGGGATGTAAAGCTTTGAAATATATAAGAGGGCAAAGAACACCATTCAGTTATTGGAGAACATAAAAACAAAGAGTTTTACATCAATGAGAGCATCCATCTTGTCATAAACTGTTCTAGAATAAAACAAGAAGCAAGCTTCAGGAGAGACGAGGTGAATTCCTGTTCATTACAGAGAATGTTGCTTATGGGATAAGACTAATTTTATGCAAAAAGAAAAAGGTCTTTTGAAATTCAGACTCCCTTCTGGCAAAGATGTTAATACTCTTCCTCAAGGTTTAAAGGTGTCTGGCAATGTTGGCACCATCTGCATATCAAATTGAAGCAAAACAAATACTGTTAGGACTATTACCTATGATTCAATAGGCTTATGCCATTACTGGAACTGAAATGAATATTTCAAATTTTTATCAGTTATCCATGGTGCTTTTCTAAGAAATATCTTCTAGCTCTGGAATCATCACAAAGAGAATGAAGTAGAATTTAAGTTTTGCCATTGCACTGTTTACCCTTATCCCGCTGCATATTCAATGCATAGCAGAGTGCCCCACTGCTGTGTTTTAAATTTGTATATTTATACACCCCACTGCTGGATGGTTTTTTTGAATTTCATATAGTGTTGATACATCATCAGGTGATTCGGGTAAATCTGTTAGGTATGAAAAGATATTGAATTGCACATCTGTTAGGTATGAAAAGATATTCAAATGCACATTATAAAATCTATCGGTAGTGTTCTGATTGTTTTGAAATATTTAGTAAACAAGAGAAGAGTTCAATGACCTCATTTATTGACCAGCTGGATTCTACACATTAAACCTATGGCAATAACAAAAGCAATGAACCTAACATGAATGATTACTGAAAAGTTTGTGCAGGAATACAGTGAGAAGTATGTGATCAACCATCACATTCATTAGACCATGCATTGGGAAATTTCTTAAACTTTTTGTTTGCATCAGAAATGCCACAATGCCATCAAGATGGCAGCTGCTGTTTCAGATGAGGATGACTATTATTCAGAAAGGAAACTAGGTCAGACTATCAGAATTAAGGGGACTCCTGTGTTAATAGTATAGTCTAACTCTGGGATGTGCTCAAATCATAGTGTTTGGCAGTGCATATGTCTATAAGAGAAACTTTGAAGGACAAGGGTTAAATAAATCAAATGTCTCCCTCATTCTTTTCTCTTCCATTGATTGTCTTAGAAATTAGATCTGTAACAGGCCTGCAGTCTGATGAAGTTTAGAATCAATGATAATCATTCAAATTAATGGAGAAGGTAAAATAAAATATTGTTATCAAAAACAGATGTTAGCAATTCATGTCATTTGAGAGCAGTCTACAATGGTGATACTCGATGAAATGTGGGATCTGTCTGCTAAAAAATACTTTTAGAGGAGACATAGAAAATATATAATTGCGAGTGGTGATTTTGTTGAATTTTAAAAGAAACAGAAATCAACCAATATCATTAAGGTCGGAATATTTTTATTAATTTTTTTTTTTTTTGTATTTTTTGCTGTCGTAATATTCCTTTGTTCTATCAATTATTTGGACTGTTCTTGATTGTTGAAGAGAAATATCCTGCGGAATTAACCACTGTTCAATAAATTTCTCTGTTCATTTTATTCTTTTTCATCATTGTAGCACTGAAGCATAACGAAAACCTGTCGCTATCCTATACAGATGGCTACTCTGGGGTTGAAGGCAAGAATATGCTGGCCTCTCCAATTAATAAGGAAGGGGGAACACTCTCATCAAGTGCACCATCATCCACCTTAAAGGAAATGAAAGAGGCTCAGTGGCGGAGAAGAAGGGAGAGCGAATATGACATAAACAACATTGTTATCCCTTACAGTATGGCTGCTTCTACACGTGTGGAAAAACTTCAGTACAAGGAGATTGTAACACCTAAGTAAGACTTGTTTAAATCTAATTTAACATAATTGTAACACCTAAGTAAGACTTGTTTAAATCTAACTGAAGATAAGCAAAGCCTAGATGATGCAAGGCTATTCATATCGCCATATGGCTGTAGTCCTTCATCTAGCCATCCATAAATTATTTTTAACACTTTTCTTGAGAAGCACTGGATAGAATCTCTCTCACGATAGGTAGGTAGCTTCACTTTTGTCCCTACTCGTGTTTGTTTGATTTTGGGACTGTTCAGAAATACAAAATGACTGACTGGCTGCCAGATTTGGACCAAAAAAATTTGTTACTGCTATTTCTTGAGTAATACCTAGAAGGATCTTTTGGTCCCTTCTATTGCCTGTTTGACGGCCATCTTTGATTTTGACAATGAAAGTTTGTTATCGTCATTTCTTGAAAAGTACTGGTTAAATATTTCTAAAATTTCATATGTATTTTCCCTTTTTTGTATCAAAAGTTATCTCCACAACATATACAGTTTCCCTAACAATATATATTGTTCTTGATGTACTGTATGATATATCAACACTGCTAGCCTGTCCAAATTATAAGGATAGGCTCTTACTGTCAAGCATTTCTGTACATGGAGAGCATGTTTTATGGAAATACTACAACACCTGTAATATTCATCTGCAGGAATTTGATACTTACTGCTTTCAAAAAATCTAACAAGGATAAAATGTCATTTGATGATAACTTGAAAATAACTCGGAAGTGTTTCTCTAATTAGTTGCAGTCTTATCTGGCAACTATCATAATTTGACAGAGGGCACGCAGTCTTATCTGGCAACTATCATTATTTGACAGAGGGCACACAGTCTTATCTGGCAACTATCATTATTTGACAGAGGGCACTTTAAAATGTTGCTATGTTGTTCGCATTGCTTTTTTCTGTCATATTGGTAACAGCACATGACATTGAATGTTTTTTAAGAGGTCCCTTTAGCACGATCATTGCATATGTCAGAGTTTTACTGATTCAGAATTTACATGTCATTATTTGTTTCTACTATGGCAGATGATTGTGTATCAGTGATTTTATTTCTTCAATTAAAACCATCATAAAATATGTGCTTTGTAGGTGGCGAGACCTTACAAAGGGTGATGGGGAGGTCCAAGAGGAAGAGGAAGAAGAAACCTGTCCAAGTAAGGAGGAGATGGAAACAGAGACTGAGAGACCTGCGAGTCAGGAAGAGGCAAATGTTACTAAGGAAGGGGAGGAGGAGGAAGAAGAGGTAATTAATCTGATATACCTTTATATACAAAGGGAGATAATTGGTGGAATATACAGATTTAGGATTTGGACAAAGGGAGATGAACATTTTTTTATAGAAAGAGAGATGAAAACTATTTTTTATAGAAAAGGAGATGAAAACTTCAGAATATGAAGAGAGATAATTGTTGGAATATTTATGTACAGATTCAGGTTTCAAAATAAAAAGAGACATTGTAAATGTGCTGGTATAATTTTATTCCTTGTAAAATTTATCTGAATAAGAAACTGCCTGATTTAAAATTGTTCATTGGTTTTTAATTGATTATACTTTATCACTTTTAATCAAAAACTTATAATTTAATTTTTGTCTTTTTGTTCCTATGAGGATTTCTTCCATTTTGAGAGAAAAAATGAGAAGTTAGGACAAGAATAATGTTCTTTCTAAATAAGATGAAATCTTTTAATGATTAAGACTCAAAGATGTGTGTTGAAATGTCGGAGTCGATATGTTAGAGGTATTTGTCAAGTTGTTTAGAGAGAAAGAAAATATACATTTTGTTTGAGGATCCCATTTCCTTTGGTTTATGTATTTATTATTGAATCAATTTGGATTGAAATAAAAATTCTACAAGGTATGTACAGAAAATTTTATCTGAAATGAAATATTTCAATGACAGAACGCAGTGTAGCAGAAATGAACAAACTCTTAAACTGTGAAATTGATGTCAAATTACGGTCTTATCTTTTTAGGTTGAGGATTTAACAGATGAATCATTTATAGAAAGACACAAGATCTGTGAAGTGCAGGAAAAGAAAAGGTTTACCTCTTTCATCCAATACCCAAGTCGCCGACAAAGAGGATCTCGAGGGGAGGAACAGCCACGCACCCCTGCCATGACTGATGATATTCCAATGGACATAAGTGTAAATGAGCCAATACTACCTTTGACAAGCCCTCTCTCCACCAGCCCTTCTCCAACCCCACAGGTGCAGGCATTCAAAGACGAGGCATTCAGGAGGCGCAGCAGTTCAGCTTCCTCTCGGCGCCTAAGTATGAGTGCCAGTATGGATGAAAACAGTAGAGACTCCCAATTATATGAGACAGTGGAGATGTGCTCGGTTGACCCATGGCCAGATAGGACTTTCCCGTTAACAGAAGAGGAATATGAACAGATGAAGATGGTACAGCCTCCTGCTGTCCATGTGCGGCGTGCTCGAATGTCTAGCACACGTATATCTCTAATGAGTGAGTACAGCAGCAGCCATCACCAACTGGAGGATTCTATGTCAGGAAGCAGTCTTCCTTGTTCCCCACTCCCAAGTACTTCTTCTGGCTCTGTTGTTGGGGAGGACCCTAATGACCCAGAATGGATAATCAATGGAGAGAAAGACAAAGAGAAAGCTCCTCCAAAACAGTCAGTCATCCTCAAACTGAAACGTTGAGATGTCTAGCATGTATGTGTTGGAAATAATCAACGTAGGATCACTCCTGGCCTGGTAAAGACTGTGGCCATGGACCCATACTGGAGATAGCACTGTTTACCAGACTATATATCCAAGCAAGGCTGATGATTTGTCCAATCTGATGAATGGACTGGAGACAACCTGGAATCTCCACGGAAGAACCAAGCCATTGGATATAACATAGGATCTCCAAGGAAAGGCCTGGACCCTTTTGATATCTTTAAGAATCTCTGTAGAAAGACTGGATCCTTATACCAATAAGAGGCATGTCATTATTGCTTTGTGGTTTTGGAGACATTTCAGGACTGATCTGATTTGAATATGCAATACTGATTAAGTATTAGGATGCATTTCTTGGAAAGATGAAGGAAATCAAAGAAATCATGGTTAATTTATGTTAATTGCAAAATCTAAGAGATGGGACACTGCGCATTGCAATGCTATCGTAATGTTGCTGGAGTTTTAGTAAATCTTTTTTGTTTTGGAAGTTATTAGTGCTAAATTTATCTATTTACATAAAATTGTCCCATCAACACAGATTTACAGATATCTGTTCAATGCAGAGGAGAAAACCCAGGAAGTCTCGTTAAGGTGACTTAGTTTATTGATCAATTTAAATCCATATTAACAAGTGCTAAGGAATGCTTTGAAGAAGGTTAGAGGTTGAGGTCATCATGGATCTTGTTGGAGTCAAATTTTCTCACCTGGTTTAGTAGCTAGTAGATAATTTGACTGAGTGCCATGATTTTGTAAATAGGTGTGCTTGAAAGTTGCAAGGGTCTCTGATCATTTTCTGTGCATACACTGTAATGCATTGTCTGGTCAGATGTTTCTATTGTTCATTGATCAAACTTTTTTTTCTCTTTTTTTTTTTCTTTGCATCTTGAAAAATTATGCTGATTTGCCTACAAAAAATATATATACTGTGTATATTTGTATAAATCTTTGTATTCAAATCAGTATAGCAGTTCAGATTTTTTGCTGGAAATCAAATTTATATCAATTAATCATATATGCAAAAAAAGGAAAGTATAGAAAGGAAAAGTCATTTTGTATGTAGATGACACGAATCATGTACTGATATGAAGGGAATTCCAGTTATCTTTTTTTTTATGCCTATTTTTATTTTATTATTTAAATTTGATTATTTACATGGCATGGTTACATTGAATTGAATCCATAGAGATAAATTTGTGTACATCATGTGATCACCAGTGATGTCTGCACCAGACTTATAAATGGTCATGAACCCTGTTGACAACTGTGTATGTATGTGTAATGATCATTGGTGACAATTGTTTAACATAGGTTGGCCATAGTTTGCCCATTGATCCTGATACATAGTGCTGTTGATGAAATATTATGCATTTTTGTTAAGGTATTTCCTCATTCCTTTTTTCAATGTATAACTTTTCAATAGTTGCATAATAACAACCAAGAAAACTTGACGTTTTTGGACAATTATCTTTTGCTTTTTCTTTAAATTTTGCAGTGCTCAAGAATTTGTGAAATCATGCTATTATTTAAATGATATGATCAAAAATTTTATTATTGACATTAATCAGTATGATGTTCATTTAGGGAACCTTACCTGACTTGCTTTCACTTGTTTCATTTCTGTTTAACAATAATACAGAAGAATACTTTCAATCTTTCTTTAAACCTCATTTGAAACCTTGTTCAAAGAAAAACTTTTCTCACTTCTAAAGGTTTTGTTAGCCATGATGTTGCTGGTACAGTGCAGCTGATGTGTTTTATCAAATATTGATAATTACAGACAGACATGAGAATAGTTTGAACAAATAATGTTCTTATTGATTATATCTTTTGATTACCCTTAATATTGTAGACAAGTATCTATTAAGTGTTTGTCTTCTTCCAGCATAGTCGGTAAATGTATATTAATCATGATCAAGGGAGATAATCTACCTTGTATAGGGATGGGGTGGTTACATTCTGTGGAAATGTCTTCACTTAAATTATTACATTGTACCATTTTAACACTAGAGACTTGTTAACATTCCTTGCTTAAGGTGCTTTTCACTCTCATACAAAAACTGATACTAAATCTTGTGTAGTCATACATGCAGCAATATATCTACTATATATGTAACTGTAAAATCTGATGGTTTGAATACTAATTGTTCACTCTTATGTTAATGGTATTAGAATGATCAACTTCCTTAAAAAAAATTTTTTTCTTTTTTTACGTTTTTGTTGTGTAGGGTTTGCTTATCACAGTTATAATGGTATTATTAAAATGTTTTACTTTTAATGTAGTAATGACACAGTAATTTGTTATCAATATTGTTCTGCAAGTTCATCATCATTGTAGTTAAAGTTGGAATGTAGAGATTTGTTAAGTACTATCTCACGTTTGGTTTACAATACATGCATTTATAAAGTGAGAAATAAATTTTCGATGAATAAAATAGGGTTTGTGTTGATGGTGGGAAAATGTTTTTTTTTTAAATGGTTCAATGGTAGCAAGATGAAATTGGATAAACTGATGGTGTTGAAATAAAATATGTCAGGGTTTTTTTTCCCTTATGAAAAGCAGTTTGCTGCATGTTATTTTGCCCTTTTGGAATGAGATACATTATAGCAAGATAAAACAGGATGGCTGAATATTATGAACGGCTTCCAGTAATACATTATCAGTTGTTGGATAAAATAGTTCACAAATTTATTGGTTAGTGTTGTGTTTCATTGGATTTTTCAGATTTTGAAACATTACATAAAATTTGTATAACAAATATTTGAGAAGAAAAAAAAAGAAAACAAATCTCACCAATATATTAATGCATTTTGTTATCCTGTGAGATGATAACTAGTCGTGTTAAAAAATTGGGTCTTTAGTAATTATGTGGACAGTTTTCGGTATTAATTGAGGGTTCTATTATTAGTTTTAATTTTCAAGAGACTTCGGCTTTGATTTAGTACACTGACTGGATCACACGAGTGCATGCGAGTAAGTATGTTGTACATACTGTGGTTCTTTTCACTATTTTCATGATGTACAAATATATGCGAGTTATCATTCACTGTTGTGTATAATTAATGTATGTTACCTCTGGTTTCAGAGTGTACAAATGTAAAAAAAATCAAATAAAAACTTTCAGAAGAATGAAAAAGCAGAAGAAAAAAAATCTACTTAGCGTTTTGTTCTCTTGATTGGAGGTTGTTGCTTTGTTGTTGAATGTTGTAAGATGAGTGGAAGAAAAAATGACCAATAGCCTGCAGCTAGTGCAATTAAAATGAAATCACATAATATTTTATTTTGTTATTTTTAGCCAGTCATCATCAGATGGTGAGCAGTTGTGATGATAATGGGCTGTTCAAAATTTTCCTTTGTCTCTCCTCGGTACACATCAGAAAAAAATATCTTGAATTTGGACAGCGATATTTTGTCGCGAATTCTTGAAAAGTGCTCAATTTAATCGTTTTCAAATATAACTCTTCCTTGTAATTGTTTGCTTACTTTGGTTTATCGCGATATTTTTCTGAAACTTTTTCCAAATATTTCATACCAAAGTGGTTCAAACAGAATGTTGTGCCCCTTTAATTGGCAAATGTGTGCAATGTTCAGAAAATGCAAGAACTTTTTAATTCTCCATCCATTCATTTCAAATTTTACAGGGTGATGCAAAAGGCAAAAGGATTAGACATGCTGGTTTTTCAAGTGACCAGTAATTTCAGAGTTATGTCCTTTCTATCGTTTCATAATGTTTATCTTGTCCGGAAATCACTCGATGCTCAACTGATTTATTCAAAACTGGTAGGCTTGGTATTTGGAAGAGCTACTGTGACTTGTATTCATTGTAGCTTTCTACCCATATATTTAAAACTTCATAGGTTTTAATCACCATGACTTGAAATAATTTTATCTTGTTGGCATTGTGATTTTACAATTTTGGGAAGAGCTATTATCTACATATCTCCTAACTCAGTTTAAAACCAGTTTCTTTAAAATTCGATAGACTTTAAAGCCATAACATATTTCAGTCATGCCCTTGGTTCTCTTTAGCATTTTAATATCTTGTCCTGAGATTTCTTTCAGTCAGACCCCTGCCAATCTGTCATTTAAGTATTTAGCACTGCTTTCACTCTGGACATTTTTTTCTCATTACAATCATTTTCATATCCGTTTCTTTTCAACAAATCATATTCTTTGACGTGGTATGGGCGTATAATGCTCCGCCCAGGAAGAGGTCTACCTGTTATTTCTAAAGGGGAAACAACGGGACTGTGCAAAATGCGTTTGTAGAGAGATGTTCTTTGTACAGAAATTGCACATCGTGATCTTCAAGATCCCTCTGGAATCAACAATGGTTTCCTTCATAGGAGATATTCACAAATGTATATATTACTTAACTCGAGAAAGCATATTAACATCTCTATGGAATTATCTGAGGGAACGCTGTTAGAGTTATCTCCCTTCCGTTCTACTTTTCTCTGAAAGGTGGTTTTCGAGTCCCCTGTGATATTTTGTACAGGTAATACACTCCTAGTACAAAATAATGCATGAGTACATGAATACACATTTAGGATTACTCTACCAGCTTTCCTGTCCAGTTTCTTAGAACCCATGAAGTGATACAAGTGCTCCTACAGAAATGATTAGATTTCTACCGTTAGATATACTTCTGAACAAGGTTGCAAAATATGAAAAAAAAAAATAAATAAAACTATGAAGATTTTGATAGGAAAAAAATACTATTGTATCTTTTTAGCTTTATCTTTTTGTATGTTTTCCTTAATTTATTACGACCAGTTCTATGCGTTTCACCATCAACATCTTTTCTTCAGCAACTATACTGCACCGTTGGTGCATTTCCACTCCAACAGCATACTGACATTTATTTTCACACTGGAATAAGATCTAGATTTAGAAGTCAAATATCAACATTGGTTTACAAATATCTTAATTCTTTGAATGCATGTGTTTGACATAAATGTATGCTCATCTAGAGCATATTTATTCACATTTAAAAATATTAAAACTGCACTCTTTCCTTATATTTGTCCTATACACAACAAAATCAAATAGATTCAGATTGTATATAATTTATAAAACAGAATATCATCTTTATCAATTCCATTTCTGAATCTAAAGAACGGTCTTTTGTAAGCAAATTTTAGTACACAAATATTCCGGTATCGCAATCAAATCAGTTACTCTCCAAAAATACACTTGTAACATACATATACTGAAAGCTCGTGGAATATATAATTTCCAGCAGTGTAATGCAACACCTTGGGTCAAATAACATCCTCTATGATCTACAGCATGAATTCCACAAATCGTGATCATGCGAATCTCGACGAATACACAATACAAACAAATTGACCTCATTATAATAGATTTTACATAGGCGTTCAATAAAGACAATCTCCGTCTTCTACCAAGTATACATAACGGAATGTTATGGCATCCAGTCTAACATCCTTAACTTCAGTACTGTCCGAAGTATGGGTGTCTCTCCCGATAGATGTTAAAAGGGTGCTCGGGTCGGTCCTATGCATTACCGGATAACTTCCAAAATGATTGCTGACGATGACATTATCTATCGCGAATTCTAAACTGCTGCAGACTGTGATAAACTTCTATTAGACTTTGAAGTTACTGACAGGTGGGAAGCAGATTAGCTAATGGTTTTCTATCCCGATAACTAGAAATCATATCAAATATAACTAGTCTACATGACCATATGATGGAAGGTCTCATCCGCCAAGTACCTGGGGGGTGGCACTTCAGTCGAACTTAAGGTGAAACATCAACTGTGACAATCGAATGGCAGCAAAGCCCGTGACTTTCTTAGGAGAAATCATAATGTTTCAATCACCAGTTGACGAAGCCAACCAATCATTTGAGTAAACTTGAGTTGGGTACTGCACAAACAAAATTGAAATGGTTTAACGACGTGACGCTAGATATGTATTCAATAACTACCATAACACAAGCAGTGTATCAGGAATGATAGAAAATCTTCATTGGCCACTCCTAGATGGACGTCGTCTAAAAGACGCCTTGTAGTCTTCTATAAAAATTGTTCACTGTCTCATTGCTGTTTTTACAACTGGCGCCATTCCTTTACGCACACTATTTTGATAGCGCTTCTGTTGACGTCTTCAAAGTCCAACCGACCCAAGCCGTTCTCACACCTCTCCTGCACTAAATTCTACCAATGCACATACTTTTATGTTCATTCTCAAATTTTAAGTCCCCCATGCACCTCAAGTAATTTATGCCAAAAAAGAAATCAGAATTGCCTATGCGAGCGATGAAATATGCTTATTTTCCTAAAAAAGAAATACATTTATTCTGTGAACCTCGCGAAATCCTTGAAAATATGAAATAATGCTTTGTACGAAAATGAAATAAAAGAAAAACAAAAGAAAAGTGTAGACGGTCATGAAGTATTAGCGCCTTTATTGGGGGGAACGTCATGCATGCAATTTCGCGACATTCTGAAGATCTGCTCCGTGACGTCATCACAACCATGACGTCGCGTGGAATAACAAGTTCAACTCTGCCTTGCATTCTGTACGACATCGGCAGAATGAAGGCTCGGTCAAAACCACCATTAGATATTGATATGGGAGACTCGAATACATTTCGTTTCGGAGAAAAAGTACCAAGAGTTCGTTTTAAGGAGCCAATGAAATGCCGGGAGAAACTTTTACGTTATCCCGGTGTGGATGACATGCTGAGTAGTGGTGGTATCAGGAAAGAACCACTTGTACCTTATGAAGACAATGAAACCAAGGTCGATCCTGACCAATATCTGCAACGCGGGGAAAAGAGAACGGAAGTAGACGAAAGCCTATTGGAGAATTATATTGGCAGAATCTGCCTTTCTGCTGCTATGGACGAGAAAGACAATTACGGAATCAGTGAGTTCACATTATCTTATTTGTTTAGGCCTCTTCAATAAACCTTTTATACCCTTTGAGCAACCTTATTTTCCCTGTATTTTCTATCATTGGTACTATTCTGCTCGTACACTATTTCCAATAGAATAATTTAATCTCAGCGAGACGTAAATAAAGTGTACATTGTATAACAATAGATGGTAGGTTTGAAGCAAATAAATGTGCTTTTTATGGAATTCAATTATTCTAAAGTCAGTAAAAAGAAGGAAAATCAAAGAAAAAAAACTGTTTTTTTTTCGGGAATTGTTTCCATGTCAACCGACCCTAAGCTTAAACTTTGGATCTGAACATCCCTGCTTACCCTTTTCATAGGAATCGTTCTACCATGATCATGGGACATACATTTTATTATTATTTCATTTTTTGTTTTGTTGTTTTTTGTTTTTTTTTTTTTAATTTTGATTTTGATGTTTGATATAGCATAATAGCTTTACTTCACACTCCTATCAACAGTGAGAAAAGAAGGATAGCTTTAAAATCACATATCTTTATCACAGTTGTAGAATTGTTGAGGCAGGTCGAATCAATACATTGTGATTGTTAATTTGGCCTTGACTGCTTCTATATTTTCACTGGCAATAATTGAATTTTTTCACTAACTGCTGGCTAACGCTAACTAACCTTTGAGCAACCGGGCCTAATTTAACCTAGATGTGACCAATTATGAAAGGGAAAATGTATTTTGCCTGCCGGTAAATTCAAATTGGTAGGTTCATCGATTTTTGCCCAAATGTTAATTATCAGAAAACACAGCACGGATATGCGGTATATATTACTTTTAATTGTTCGTCAAAGTTGCTACCTTGAGGAATAAAACATGACGATTTCTCGACCTCGAATGCTTCAATAAATAAATAAATAAATAAATAAATAAAATCAAACAAAGAAATTTGATCAAACGTCACGAGCTTATGCTTTCCATCTTGTAAATGAAGCCGATTTGTTTTCCAGTGTATATAGTACATGTATGTTACAGAATACATGTATACAGCTTTATATAAAAAAAAATCTGACCACTCAATCTATAAATAGACCGTTTTAAATGAAAATTATTCATACTTTAAAGCAATTTGAGCAAATTTTTATACATACATGTACCTCTAAAATATTACACATTTACTGAAAAAAAAACAGGAAGTTGTGCAAATGTCGCTGTATTCTCATATTAACTGGTGATGGTTGGTTTCAGCAATGTTATCTGTTATGTATGCTGACGTTCCCAATCGATTACGTAATCGAACAGAACCGAATTCGCAATTTAGTAAACATCAATAAATGCTAGACCTAATCCGGTTTGTGTACGCCTAATGACGTCACACATGAGAGACTCTGGTTAACCAGCACATGTGACTAACATGTTCCTAGTCATCATATCAGCCCATACACAGACCAGGATGTAACATGGCGCTACCCAAATTGGAGCACTTTTTAAAGACGATTGAAAAAAAAAATCCAATGAATGTTTAAAACTCAATTTTTTCTTTATATCTCACAAATAGATACCTTCATTACTTTCATATAATGTTTTAGTTACATGTAAGCAGCGCGCGTGTCTAACGTTATAAATATAGGGCGCGGCAGGCATGCTGAGTTAGCAATGCATTTCAACAGTTTTTAGTTCTTTTATTAAAATAACTGACACAATCTTAAATATTTTTCTTAATTTCATAAAAGTTCACTTACTTTTAATTTGAGTCGCTTTTTTAATGAAAACATTCAGTTCAGCAATGTTTTCCTTAATTTCCCGTAATTCATTTTGTTTTATAATTTAAAATATATTTTTTCGTTTTTAGATAAATATGATAGAGGTGATAAAAGACAAACATTGACAAAAATTGCCATAATTTCTTGTAAATACCATTTGTTTTGTTTCGCAGTAGTAATATATTTTGTTGCAAAATAAATGATTCTATTTTTGGTAGTGTCATATCATGGCAATTATATTGTTCTATTGCCGTTCGTCTCATTAATCCACTACCCTCTGAGAATACCAAATATGAAAAACACCTATGGTGTCATATTTTAATTTGACATAATGATGACAACAAGATAATTCTGAAATATTTTTAATGCGAAGTTTTTTTTAAAAAAAATAGTTACCGCATGCGGGATTTTTTTTTTTTTTTTTTAAAAACGAATTTCTATTTCTGATGATGACAAATGTGTCATGTTTGTTTCGTATCTCAGTGGATCCTTACGATGGACACGTAACAAATCCGGAATCCCTCTTGCAAGCACTCGAGGAAAGTCGCTTCGAGAAGAAAACAAAAAAGGACAAGAAGGGAAAATGGAACAAGAAGGAAAAAAGAAGAAAAATGGCGGAAGAATATTTGACAGCAGACAATTCCGAACAATCAACAATACCGGTTTTGACGATTCCCCTGAAGGAGTTCCGGTAAGGAATGCGAGGGTTGAGGCTGAAACATTTGCCTTCGACAAAATGTGATAGGTTGCGCATGTCTTTGACATAAGCATGCAATACTGCTCTCTGTTCAAGGAAATACTTTTCCACCTTATTACCAAAGTTCGTGCTTTACAATGGTTAAATCTTATAGTGCAGCCCTAGCAATGATTCAGTTTCATTTAGTACAGACTATCTAGTGGGTATAACGAGTTCAAAACGTTCCGGTGTAGTTATTGTTTATGGCATTTTAACTGGCGCTTACAAAGACTTCTCTTCTAAGCATTAATATTTAATCAAGGCAGTCCTGATCCGTTTAAGGTGCGGGCATTTATCGAACCGGAAATCACCGAGTTAAACTTAATGATCTATATATACCTGATAGGCGACCTTTGGATGGGATTATTCTATTAATTGCGTATCTGTTTTGTTTTAAATTAAATTAATAGATACGTTTGGAACCCCTCCCCTCTACCTGAAAACACCCCATCATCCTTCATGATTTAAACTTTTTCTTTCAGACATCTTATCAACTCGGAAGTTGAGTCTAAGGCACGAGTAATTCACGACTATTACTTGTACCAGTGGGATAGCATGCAGAGAGATCGGATAGATGCCTACAGGAGTCTTATTACGTGGAAAGGTAAATTATCCCAATGTGTATTACAACCGACACAATATCTTTAAAGATAGATACCACTGGGACCTGCCGTTGTGCGTCTGCTATGGACCGAACCTGGTGTGTATGCAGTTTTTAGATCTCCCTGTCCAAAGGACACGTGAGCTTATCCCATAGTTCGACGTCCCTCCTACTCCTGAGCGACTCGGCTTGTTTTGGTCAAATTTGTCGGTATGGGTCCCCTGGGATCTGGGGAACGGTCTATTAGGGGACAGTTGGCAAATTCTTTAAAATTCGTCTTCAGTAGAAATTACAGGATTCCACCGAAGAATCCTAGGGTGAAGACGAATCAGTTTGGTTTGATCTCTACTCTCTTGATGTGGGAGGGCCTGGACCCAACAGGAGACAGAGAGCATTTTTAAAAGAAATATCCTGCCTCTGTAAGAATGCAAGGATTCTATCCCAGTTTGATCTAACACTTCCTTGGGTGAAAGGTTACCCCTTATTTAGATAGCTAGTGATCTATTCTGTTTAAAGTAATAAGGCTAACCCCCCCCCCCCCCCTTATTCAGACAGCCAATAATTTACAGCTTGTTTGTATTGTTCACAATACAAAATTTATGTTATTCCTTCTTCAGTTAATATAGGTCACTTCTATAAATAGAACAAAATGAACACTTTTTGTATGTTATTATTATTTTCAGACCAGTATGAGCAGGTGAATATCTTATTGTGTCGAGCAAGACTAGAACTCGAGCGGATGACTCTATCACGTGATTCTCTGGTGTCCGAGGTTAGTAAGGGTGGATGATATATGTCCGTAACATTTGATCATGTACGTTAATTAAGGTTATAGGTCTACCAATTACCGTTCGTTACACGAAACATCCTCGACTTATTTTTTAATGAAAATTTACTACTAGAAATCCAAGGCATATTCTAAGAACGGCTAATATTTGAAATCGGATCGATTGTAAGGAATATTTTCAGAACTGACCTTTTCTCAAGCTTTTTCAAAATATTATCAAAATTTTGGGTACTAACCCCTTATAAAATAACAATACGGGTTGCAGTATGGTATATCATTCAAAGAATAAGACAGAAAAGATCGAATTCTGAATTAGATGACATCTGGCCTAAACCTGAGCCAATTACAGTATCTTGTTTGGTTTTAGATCGAGAATATCAAGAAAAACAAACGGAGGCGAAGTGGTGCTCAGCGGAGACGGACGCGAGAACTTGCTTCAAAATCAAAGTCTAGCGCACAGGCGGAGAATGATGACCCTTCTACGTCCAGAAATATTGAAAGCAGCCAAAGCCTCGAAGAAGATTGTTCTCGTTGAGTAACTCTGTAAATGTTTGCAATTATTTTGTTGTTAATAAAATAAATGAGAAGTTGCGTTCGTATCATATTCTAAAATTGCTGTCGGAGACAATACTGTGAAGGTAGGCAAGATATTCCAGGAAGATCTTGGCGCCAACCATTCATTGTTTGATCCTTGGTCGTCAGAAGTTGGATATTCTCCCTTCTTTTTCTTCCTTTTTTGTCCTCTTCTCTAAAAAAAAAATAACAATAACGATATCTTGCCGTTAAAATCCAAGATGGCCGCCGATCGGTCGTAGTATTTTTCAGACCAGTCACAAAATATAACAATGCAAGAGGAACCTATATCAAAATCAAAAATGACCCATCGAGTATTTCCTTCAAAAATAGCGATTGCAAACTTTTTTTTTCTGTATGGTGCAACTAGGGACCAATGGGAACTCGTATATGAAATCAGAGAAAGATCCGTCGGGAGTTTCTCAAGAAATAACAATAACAGACAAAAGGACACAACAAAAGATCCACTCAGTAATTCCGAAGAAATAGTGACACCAGCTTCCACAATCAAAATCGGAGAAAGCCACCTCTCAGCCATTTTGATATTCAGACATGTCTAAAAATAGTTAATACACAACAAGTGAATAAGGGATATCTACTTATGAAATTTGAAAAAAAAATATTCTTGTTCTTCTCAAAATAGCGATAACAAGTATTGTCATGTCATTGATTTCCAATGTTGCAAGATAAATTTTGCTCGGGACAGAAAGACAAATGTGACTCGCCACTTTTTCCTTTCTTCGCCCTCGCCAAAATACAGCTTGTATTTTGAGAAACTGACCATGTATTCTCTATTTATTGTGAGCTGTATATGTATATATTTTTAATTTATAGCGAGCTGTGTTGGTATTTATATATATCTATTTATAGCGAGTTATCGTGAGCTGTGTATATATATATTTTGTACATATGATGCCTTATGACAAGGAATTTATAATTTCTTGTGAGTTAATGACGAAATGAGGGTGATCAGGATAACAAGTTTACATGTCGTATTCACCTAGCAATTGTTTCAAAGTCATCCAGTACATAAGAGAAGGGAGATAACTACTTCGATGTTAAGTGAAGTGAAGAGAAAGACAATAGGATTGGCTACAAGTTTGTACAACATTACTTAGGCCCTCTCCTTTGATACATATAATAAATATTAGCCTTGCTAGGTAAGATATTTAGTGAACTTAATACAATTAAAGACAAGAAGACAAAGGAGAGAGAGAAGGGAGGGGGGGGGGAGGGAAAGGGTAAGGAATGAACGAGAGAGAGATAGAAAGAGATGGAGCGAGAGAGGGTGAGAGAGAGAGAGATCAAATAAATTCACAAATGTACAAGTAATCTTTTTCTTTCTCTCTAATTTTTATTTCCATTAGCAATTCATACAGTACAATGTATTACAGATATTTGTATTTCCCATTCACAACACTTGTCTTTATCATAATACCTATTACACATAATATTTCAGTACCTGGTACAGAAATATGATTTATATATATATATATATTTTCATATATCATTACATCAGGGCACATGTGTAAAAACACATTTAATTTGCTCTGAAACAGAATCAGCACCTAGGATATAACATAGTTGACAAACATTTATAACTGTATTTTTAATGCATGTAACAACTGATAGAATCTGAAATCTTCTCTATTTGTCCTTATTATCATATCTATTCTGTCTCTCAACTCATTTCTTATCTTACCAATTAGAGATAGTGGATTTTGTATTTCATTTTCAAATTTCTTTGAATTTCTGGCCTTCCAGATTAACCACTTAGAATGAAAAATTACAATGTTACAGAGTTTGTTGATGTTCTCTGGATATTCTGATATACCAAAAATCCTTTCTTTATCAGTAAAAACAATATACTGATAATCTACTGAAACATTAAAGAGACACTCATTCAATAACCTTTCAATTTGTAGCCATACCTCTTCACTCAATCTGCACTCACTAAAAAGATGTTGTTGTGTTTCTTGTTCTTCCTTACAAAAATTACAAAGACCATTTGATTTCTTCATTTCTTTCAATTTGTGTTCAGTGGTTATAATTCTGTGTATACTTCTCCACTGAAAATCTTTTACTTTTTTTTTCTAGTCTACTGCTGTTTAATGAATGCCAAACTGCTTTCCACTCTAGATTGTAGTCTGTATCCCATTTCTGAATAGATTTTATCTGATTTGCTGTTTGAAACAATACATTTTTAATAGCTTTATTAAATAGTTTATTTAGTGCCAGCAAATTTTTACCATAAATGAAATATAAATCTTCTGTAATTTTGAATTTAGCTCTATTGTTTCCATTGTTATTTTGTAGCATATTTTTCCATTCCAAAGAGAAGGCTTTTCTTATAGTTGTATACTCTGATATCCAATTATTCTTTAATCTTAATTTTCTAAGTAATTCTCCTGATGTAATAAAGTCATGCTGTTCCGTATCCCAAATATCTTGAACCTTGGTAATCCCACTACTTGCCCACCCTTTATAAAATATAGGACTGTTTTTAAATAGTAGATTGTGGTTTCCAAATAAGTTCTGGTTGAGTACATCATCTGAAGTGGAAATAGAAGTGGTTCTCAGCAACTTTTGCCAATAGAACAGCCCTTCTAAATATATTTCTGAGATTTTGCTAATTTCTAAATTCTTAATGTTACTACATCTGCATAAAAAATAATTTGCATGATATACTGCATCATATTTTTGCAACATATTTTTCCCAATTATGTTCCAAGATTGGATATCACAGTGAATAAGACGGTATATTAATTTAATTCTGTTTATTGCAATAATGACATCTAGGTCTACCATGTTCAAGCCTCCATCTTTCTTTTCTAGATAAACAGCTTCTTTTGAAACTTTGTTTATTTTACTTCCCCACAGAAATTCATAGATTAATATATTTATTCTACGCTTATATTCATTTGGTATTGTGTTTTGTGCTAATTCATATGTCAACTGTGAACACAACAGTGACTTAATTATAAGGGTTTTTCCTTCTAGTGTCAAATGTCTTGGTCTCCATGTTTTAATTATGCTTTCTATTTTTTTTATTTTATTTTCCCATACCCGTTTTTTATCTATATTGTACCCCATATAAATTCCTAGAACTTTAATGTTGTCTGTCACCCATGATATCTCCATGTAGTTTGGAGGTCGTTGCTTCCAACTACCAATATACATACCTTTTGTTTTCTTCTTATTGATACGTGCGCCTGAAGCTTTCTCGTAGCATTCAAGTACTTTAAAAAGATATTTAATGCAATTTTCTTTACTTAAAAATAGTTGAGAGTCGTCCGCGAACATGCTAATTTTAGTTTGTAACTTTACATCATTGACTATTGGTAGATCGATTCCAGTTATATTATTATCTTTCCTTATTGAACATGCCATTGCCTCTGCCTGAATAATATATAATATTGGTGCTAAAGGGCACCCTTGTTTTACTGAACGAGATATTTTGAAGAATTTAGACAAGTGTCCATTTGTTAGAATACAACTTTTTGAAAATTTATAGGTCATATTTATATATTCTCTCATTGATTTTCCAAAATTGAACTTCTCTAGACATTTTTCTAACCAACCCCATTCCACTCTATCAAACGCTTTTTGTTGATCTAAGAAGATAATAATACCTCCCTTCTGCTCCATATCTGTGTAATCGACAATATCAGTTAATAATCGTATTGATTCTTCTATATTCCTGCCTTTAATAAACCCTCTCTGATCGCTATGTATAATATTTTGTAGTAATGGTTTTATTCTTTCTGCTATTAACTTGGCTATAATCTTATAATCAGTGTTAAGAAGGGTGATCGGTCGCCAGTTTGATATATCTTCCCTCTCCCCTTGCTTATACATTAATCTAATTATTCCTCTGTACTGAGAAGACAAAACTTTAGAATTAAAAATTTCCACTATTACTTCAGTCAGTTGCTTTTTGATCATATGCCAAAAGAGTTGATAGAATTCAGAAATTATCCCATCACTCCGCGGTGCCTTACTTTTTTTTCAGAGTTTTAATGACTTTTAAAATTTCTTCTTCAGTAGGAATTTTATCACAATCTAGTTTTTCTGCTTCTGTTAATCTTGCATCTACATTCATTAAAAGCTTCTCTGCTTCCTGTTCATTCCATCCCTCTGAAGTAAACAGTTTCTGATAAAATTTAACTTGTTCCTCCAGAATTTTTTCTATATCTGAACTGTAGAGACCGTTTTCACATTTCACTGTAGTCCATTGTTTATTTTGAGCCCTAGATTTTTCTAAATTAAAAAAGTAATTAGTAGATCTTTCACCTTCCTCATACCATTGCACTCTTGATCGAACTCTAACTGCTTCTGCGAGACTATTGTAATAAGATTGAATTTCTGCTGAGATATTAAACAATTCTGTTTCATCAAACTCCTTATCTGTGTCTTTTCTTCTGTGTATATCTACTAATTTTGATTCTAACTTTTTTATATGATTTTTGGGTTTATTTATGATATGACTGCTCATTATACTTAATTCCTGTACTTTGATTTTAGTTAATTCCAACCATTGAATTTTACTCTCATACTCATTTATATTATCTTTCCATTTTTCCCAAAAGTTCTTAAACAAATCTTTGAATATTTCAGATTTAATTATTTCTGAATTCATTTTCCAATATCCTTTTCCTATTTCTACTTCACTGAAGTTAAAAATTATTACCGATGAGCCATAATGGTCATTCTCAGTAAAGGGACATAACTCTATATTAGAATATGTTACTAAATAATCTATTGATTTACTAGTTAAAAAATAATCAATTCTGGATTGTTTCCTGCCTCTTTTGAAAGTGTATGATTTAATTCCTGGGTGCCTACGTCTCCAAATATCTTCAACATCTATAGATTTGATCAGCTCTTTCAATTCATCCTGACCTGTCTCAGTCATTGAGGTGCAATTTTTCCTGTCTGATTTTATATTTTGTACGCAATTAA